GAACCCAGGAAAACTGAGTAACTCACCAAAATGACCAAAGCCAACACCTTAAATACCATTTTCAGCTAAAGACAAAGGAGGATCTTGGGGGTAGTGGTTTGGGATTTCAAAGGGGAGGAAGGCAATTCACAGGGAGATGGAAAAGCAGATGTTTGGTAAACAAATGTTTGCTGGGCCTTCTTACTTTGATAAAAATGGGTCTTGCCAGGTGCCTTTCTGCCTACCACACCCAGAGTTATCTGTGATGATAACTCTTTTTTGGTACAGGCCTTTTATCTTAAATTCTTTTAGGCAGTTGTGGGGGAGGTCAAAGTTTCTTTCTGAGTTTTTTGTTCTTAAAAATAATCAAGCCAAAGAGAAACATTTTGGGGTGGCAAATTCTGATCCCCCACAGTCCAACCTTTGAAACTTCTAGAACTTTCATAGTCAAGAAGCTGAGTTGGTAGATTGTTCCATCTCACTGAACCCATGTCTTAGTCCTAATAATAGGTCAGTCCAGTTAAATTCATTTCAGAAGGCAGTGATGCAGGTGGGCTCATAAAGTTAGGCCTATGTTACGTAAGCAAGCAGTTAGGTATTTAATAAGAAGCATTTCTATGTAAACAAAAAGAAAAAACAAGGTTAATGGTTGGAATAAATTCTAAACCAGTTTCTGAGCCCAGGGGACAGTCAGTAAAGAACATTTCTAGACATCAGGGTTGAGGTATCTTTTGTAGTTTGAAAAGTCTCTGATGATGTTATCGGATGTTCAGGTTATCCTTTTGAGTGGCTTACACAGCAACAGACGTGAAGATTCTTTAAACATGGGTTATCATGGTGATCTCTCAAGTTTATATCAAGTTGTTCAGCTTCAGTTTGTAGGGCTTCAGGAAAAAGAGTGGTTTTAGTTCTCAATGATTCCGAATGAAAAGGATGGAAAGAATTGAAGATGTTAGTTGGGAGATTTGTAGCCAGATATTTGAGGAAACTAGAAGAATTTAGGATCCAGTCCAGTGTACAGGTAGAAAACAAAAACCTCAAAGACAGTTAACAGAACTAGAATCTAATATCCACAAATGTGTATTATAGTTTTCTACTGAAACATACTTTTTCTCTCTAAAATCACCCTCATTTTTACCAAAGATAGCCAAATTAAGACTAATTGGTTTGCAAAATAAGTCTAGCTTCAATAAACTTGGCCCAATTGGTTACATAAGTACAGCAAGATAGCAATTGATCACATAGGCTGTTTTAAGTCTACCTTGCTGGAACTTTTCATAAGGAATCTCAGATTGAATTAAAAGGCCTCGTGAGGCCAGGAAAGCCAAACCAAGGACTCGTCATCAGAATCTGCTTGTAATACCTTAGATTTGGGTGAATTCCTCTCTTCTCGAGGTCCCCAAAATATCCTGAGTTTCTTTGCACCTACCAGGGAAGTGACCTTCTTTACTCACCTGGTAAAGTTGTTGGGACCCTTTAAGCAAGGTACCAGGTCAATATTTTCAAGTGGTTTATTTATTTTATAAAGTCAATCCTTGTTCCTTAAAGCTGCTTGGTCATATCTGAGTCTATGCATGCTTCTCTCAAATATGACATTCCAGTCAAAACCTTGGTAATATAACCAATGTTTCCGATTGTGTCCTGTTATAAGGAGAATAGATTTTTATTGAACTTTGGCAAAAACTATATTGCCATGAAAATAAGAATATTTACTCATCAAGAGTTTCCAAATTCTGGAGGGATCAGGTAGGGAGAAAAACATAAATGTTTGAATTCTGCTTAGAAAAGTATAATTTACCAAATTGATATAAGTCATAGTTAGCTTAAGAGAAAAGAGAAAAAGCTTTCCTTAAATTTGAAAAAAAAATAAATAAATAAAAAAACAAGATTTTAAACAAAAGTCATAAAAATTTTAATCGTTTTCATCAGTTTACTCAGTCCCATGTAATCAACTCTTAATCTTCTGTTAGCAGCTTCATGAAGTCATCAGTTTCCCGTTAGGGTTTTCTAGTTTCTTACCCAGTTAAGTTTTATGATCTGAAAGTGTATCAGAAACCTATATTCTAGAGTGTTAGAGTCTTTTCCATGAATCTCTTTGAAGATGAAACATATTTGCACAAAGCACTAGAGTAAAACAATAAGTATATCTAAATGACAAAAGACTTCAAATAGGATATAGGTCACTGTGAAAGAATGCTTAGTTATCCATTTAACCGAAGTGAGAACGGAAGATGTTTAAGGCAAACATAGAGAGTTAAATAGTTAAAAAAAAAAAACCCTTATTTTGGTTATTAGAGAAACCCCAGCCTTTTTGAACATAGGAAATTATTTTGACAAAACACAGAATTTCTGTCTTTTATGTAGATTTACTCAAAGGTAAAGAAAAACCTTTTATAATATCTTTATCAAGATCAGACTAAAAGTTTAAGAAAATTATTCTTTTAAGAGAAAACCAAATTTTAATTTTGCAGTAGCTTACTTTTGGTATTAAAACTCATTTACTTAATTAAATTTATTTCAATCTTAGCCAACTTGACTATACACAAAACTTTTTTCAGTTTTTTTATAAACCTTCTATAACTGTTTTAACAAACAAAAATATCTTTATTTCTTATACCTTCTTTACTGAAAACATATCTTACTTTCCTTGAATACAAAGATGTTTTCCTTATTAATTTTTAGTAGCTTTAATTACATATTAGATTTTTAACCCTTAGAAACCTTAATTTTTAGTGACAACTAAAAAGTAAGCAACTATGAACTGTCTTTTACGTTAGCATTTTGTGGCTTGGCAAATCCTATAAACACTTTATAATTTTTAGAAACATGTTACTTCATAGTATAATCTTCTAATAAAGCACAAGACATGTTTACTGATAGACCCAAACATCTTTTAGTTTCTCTGTAGTAAGACAAAAGTAGGTAAACTTAGATATATTTAGCAGTTAATTTTCAGTATTTTATCTTATTTGAAAATGACCTAGGTAGCAATGAATTTTTTATTGTTTAATTTTACCTAGTAATATAAATGCCATAGAATATAATTATTGCTAAAAGTTTATCTATAAACTTTTATCTCACTTGTATCTAAATCATTTGCTCCCAACAATTATGTTTATATTACCCATGAAAACTTCATGAGACATTAGACAAAATTAGCTCTCATTCTAAGTTATTATTTTTGCTGACAAATTTTGTAACAGAGATAACATTAGCTTATTTGACTAATAAACCCAGGTAGAAAAATATCTCACTTTGACAACATGTACATATAGACATAGATGAGCACACAGGTAGGCACAGACAGAGACTTTACAGCTGCTGTTAAGTATTTGCTATGAATCAGGTACAATACAAAACTTACTAGTTTGTAAAATAATTTGATCCATATTTTGTTTTGGCTGTTGGAAAGGTTAAGTTTACTTGCAAGTAAAAGTTAACTTTATTTGTTAAGGTTAAGGCCTTTTTTTTTTTCCCTGATGAGAAACATTTGCATTTTAAAGAATGGCTCTTAAGTCCTAGAGAAGATGGGAGTAGAAAATGTACATCACAAAGACACAGAGAAAGCATTTAAGTTTTCTCCAAGATGGAGTTTCTGGGGCATATTCGCTTTACCAGTTTCCAACATCCCAATATCTTGGAGCATTTTGAGAGGAATAGGGGAGGTTTTAGTATTGGCAAAAGGACAAGTGAACTTTGACCTGCTTTCTAGAGCCACATCTTTGGCCCAGCAGAGATCTGTAGACAAAGATGGTTGCTTTCACTTCCTCCAAAGAACTGGATTACAGTCTGAATGATAAAAGAGGTTCACCCACCGTTCCAGCTACATTTTTCCAATTGCTTCTTTATATCAAGGAGATATGAGATATAAGAGATGAATCAAAAGATTTTTTTGTTTTAAAACTTTAGAACAATGTATCATACCTTTAAAATCTGTACAAACTTTAACAAAGGCCATCTTTTTAAGTGTACAATTCCACCCTAGATCAATTTACCCTGGGTGGAGGAGCTTTCATTATCTTTTTTATTAGTACCTGATATCAGGTTCTAGTTTTTATTTCACATGGTATGGGCTCAGGCAACCCAGTGACTTCCTTCATCATGTTTAATTAACATTGTCTGAAGGGTGGATTTATTTGCTGTTTTGCAGTATCTGGCACGGGAAACGTTCCCCAGTGAGATACAGTGTCTTTCCCCACAGTACAGTCTGTAATACATTCAGGCAAAAGAGGTGCAATCACTTCACATAAAGCCTGTTTAAATATGCCAATTCTCCTACAAAATTTCACCTTACCCATTTCTGTGCAAAAGGCTTTGAGTCCACAGCGAGAAGTCAAGCCAACGGACACTTGGCTTCATGATTAAGCAGCTTAATTGTTGGCCCAAGTGCAGATTTTCATTGTGATGTCTGCCTTCTGGCTTTTTAAATTTTTCCAAACTAGGGTAAATAGAGGGGACTTGTTTGGGGCCCTTCAATGTTGGGGGACCAGTAGGGGGTCCCTTTGGCCTGCCCAACCTTAGGCAGTGCTGTATTAAAACCTTTGTTTTAATCCCATTAATATCCGTTTTATTTATCCCCCCTTTTTTTTTTTGTGAGGAAGATCAGCCCTGAGCTAACATCCCATGCCAATCCTCCTCTTTTTGCTGAGGAAGATTGGCCCTGGGCTAACATCCGTACCCATCTTTCTCTACTGCCACAGCATGGCTTGACAAGTGGTGCATAGGTGCGCGCATGGGATCTGAACCCGAGAACCCGTGGGCCGCCAAAGTGGAGCGCCATGCGCACTCAACTGCTGCATCACCGGGCCGGCCCTATTTACCCCATTTTTTAAAATAACCATCTTAAGATTTTCATCCTGCTGGAATGTCTCATGACTCTTCCCTTTCTGATTCCTCTTTGTTTCCCTTTTTAATATTTGCTTTATTTACCTTATTTCCTAAAAACTCTTTTAAAAAATTTCTACTTTGTCAAGAAAAGTCCCTCAACTTTCTCCTGGGCTTCTTTTATTTTTTTGTTAGTTAACTTAATGCTTTCATTAGCATCTGTAAGACCATGAGAAGAAGCTGAGACCCCAAATTTGACTAAGTCATTATTTCTTTGTATTTCTTTTTTAACTTGGTCTCTTCATAGGTGCCAATAAAACAGCTGTTTATGATGAGAGCTCTCTAAGAATTTTTCCAATTTAGAAGTTTTTCCAATTTAAACGATCCATTGTCTGGCTATTGATGAGTAGGATCTTAGTAGTGACTCAAGCTAATAATCCTTTTGTCACCACAGCACCAGGAACAGAATCTGCTGCCCCAAAACACGCCTCTTTGGCATAAGGTCTATTTTTAGCCGATGATTATTAAAAAACACCAGACATAGGAAAAGCTCTGAAAACCTAGTAGGAATTACCCTTTGCAAGGGAAATTTACATTTATAAGAGAAATCTCCATTTGTAAGGGTGCCTCCCTTACAAATATGCCAGGAAGAGGAGGGTGACTCTAAATCTCTAGAAACTCTTATCAGTGGAGAAGGCAGTGCCTTAAATCTGCATAACAACTTTACCCTTGTTTACTGTACTTTTCCTAGTAATCTTCCATAACTGACCCCATCTTAAGAACAGGATGTTAAAGCTATTTTTCAGGGGCGATGAGCCGGCCAAGATCATGTGCAGAGGAGAAAATTTTTATCTGCCACTCGGGGCTCATCCTGCCAGTGCTTCTGTACATCGGCTGGCCCTCCCTGATCTCTTACACCTTACCCTGTAACTTGGACGAGGAGACAAATTTGAGAGCCTTCCATCTCCTTGCCAATCGATTGCGCGATAAAGCATTTCTTCTTTCAAAGACTGGTGTGCCACAGTGTCGGCTTCTATGCGCATCGGGTGGTGAGCCGTTGCTCGGTAGCACTTTTATGGCTTAACCATGGGCATAAGAGGCGTCCCCAAAAGAGAGTGCAAAAGCAGCAGCCCTTGCAACATCCAGAAAGTTCACTCCCAAAAATAGTCTTAAGAAAACAAAGGCCTTTGTTGCACAGGTGGTAGTGTACTAACAAGCAACGAGGGTTGAGACGACACAGGCCGTCTTATGGACTTATGGACTGGGACCGCTCATGACAAACTCCTCTGAAACCTGAGACAGCTGGACAAAGAGAGTGTGTCTCAGAACCCCAATCTATTCGACTGGCCATCAAGATGCTAACCAGTATGTGCATCCTCTGCGTGGTGGAGACCAGAGAGGTCACAAAGCCAAGCTCTCAAGACACAGACCAAGACAAAAGAAAAAGCCTCATTTATATGCACATTAACAGCTTTAGCTAAGCCTTGGGTCTCTTGGAGCCAAGTTAATACCTGGGAGGGAGGTGCTGCAGGCTTGGGGAGTGTGTGTTGTTTTATAAAGTACCTCGTGGCATGGAAATTTTCTTGAGGTTGGGAGGGGACCTGTGTCATGTACCCCATTCTGTGACCAGCTTATCCTATCACAGGAGTCTTCTTGAGGTGGCAAGCGCCCTAATGGCTCTTAACTGCTCAACCCATGCCCACCAAATTTGTGGCCTCTTTGGCTTCCAAGATGCCCCTTAGCAATAGCTTTCACCTCATGTGCATATTAACCCACAGCAAAGTTTAGTGCAGGACTGGCCCAGACAACAGGCTTATAGAGATGCCTGCGTCTTGCCCTATGGTTTTTCCATTTTATGACAACAGACAAACAAACAAAAAGACAGAGACAAGGAAAAACAGTGACCATCTCTGGGAGAAGGATCAGCAAACCAATGAGGACTCAAACCAAATTTCCCAGAGTTGCTGAGTCCAAGAAGCAAATATTTTCTCCTGCTAATCTACATTAAAAAAGCAAAAACCCCACTACTCTCACTTCCACTGGACCCTGCAGGGAGCGATCTGGGAGACTGACATGGTAAGAACTCTTACCTCCTGCTGGCTCTTGTCAGAGGTCCCGGATCTCTCAGCTGCAGTAGTCCAGGAGTGAGCAGTGTCCAGCCAGTGAAGTTTTATCCCATCCTCATTGCCAAACTGTAGGGGAGGAAGAACTATTCCTCTACCCTCTAGGTCCTTCTGGCTAATCTAAGAATTAAATTCATATGACACAGAATAATAGGAGAAAATCAAAGAAAGTGTAATAACATGCATATGTGGGAGAAACCCAGGAAATCTGAGTAACTTGCCAAAATGGCTGAAGCCATGACCTTAAATACCATCTTCAGCTAAAGACAAAGGAGGATGTTGATGGTAGTGGTTTGGGATTTCAAAGGGGAGGAAGGCAATTCACAAGGAGATGGAAAAGCAAATGTTGGTAACAGATGTTTGCTGGGCCTTCTTACTTTGATAAAAAAGGGTCTTGCCAGGTGCCTTTCTGCCTACCACGCCTAGAGTTATCTGTGGTGATAGCTCCTTCTTGGTATAGGACTTTTATCTTAAATTCTTTTAGGCGGTTGTGGGGGAAGGTCCAAGTTTCTTTCAGAGCTTTTTGTTGTTAAAAATAAGCCAAAGGGACACATTTTGGGGTGGCAAATGCTGATCCCCCACACTAGGGAGGTGATTAAGTTGTCCATTTTGTTGTCTTTTGGGAGATTTAGTTGGAATGTAGCTTCCCTCGAGGCAAGCAGGTACGTTGAATAACTGCTTCTCCTTCCTTTTTGCCTTGGGTTCTGTGAGGAAGAACCCTTAACCTCAGAGTGTCCATTTTTGCTTCCCCATCCCATGAAGATGTTACTGAGATCAGAGGCATTATGAGGCAGGACCTCTGCTCACACTGGGATATCATTATCTTGTAGAAACTTCTCTAAAGCCTTGTACTTTTTTCAGAAATGGTTTGTAAAAGTTTGCTGTTCACTGTCCGTCCCTTCCCCCCTGTTTTGTTTAGTAAAGCTTCATTGCATGCACTCTTTTCATGCCAACAAATGAGCTGCAGCCTCCTCCTCACCTTGTAATCAACACTGTCTTTCCTGTTGTTTGGTCAGTTTCTCTCCTTACCTTAAACATCCCCTGAGGTCGGGATCTTTCCTTTCTGGTCTTGGCCCACTGGCCTTCCTGCTGTGTTGTTGGCCCTGGGGAAGCTTTGCCCACCACACTTGTTTTGAAGGCAAACTTAATAGCTTGTGTGAAGAAAGCTGTTAGAAATTAGGACAATTGATCTCTTAGTGCCGGGAATTAGAAGAGGTGCTGAATGCTCCATTTGTAACTACAAGCTGAGGTGTCACTCCTTCCCAGAGTGGGTGCTGTGGAGGAGATTCCTGCGGTGGGTGGGAGGGAGGCCCGATGGTGGCAACATTCCAGCATTCCCACGCTAAGACTCCATGATTCAGGCGAGAGCATCTCGTGCTTTAGTTCTTCACTCATTCATTCATTCGTCCAACTTCCTCTGTATCTGCCTCCTTTGGGCGTGGTTTTTATTCTTGAGCCTTTTACCCTGACCTGGTCATTAGGAGGGGACCTGTGGTGGGTTCTCATCTCTCTCTTAGCAGCAGCTCCTTGCCTGCATTAGGGACGCAGGGATGTAAATGACACTCTGACCTTCGGTTACCTTTCCTTTTGCTGAGCTTCTTGGTATCCTCTCCTACTCTTCTTTGTGGGATGGCCCCTTTATTTTTTTTTAGGTTTCCTTTAGTGCCTTGTTTATATGATGAAAAGAGCGTGTAAAGAGTGGACAGATTTAGTTTGCTCAGACTCTTATTATTTTAATTTTGGATTATCCAAAAGCTTTTGGTCAGTGGCTCTCAATCATGGCTTCCCTTTGGAATCACCTGAGGAACTCAAAAAACATCCCGACGCCCAGGGCTCCCCCAGACTAATTGTATTAGAAATCTCCAGGGGGATGACCCAGGCACCACCATGCTTTAAAAAGCTCCCCGCGTGGTTCCAGTGACAGCAGAGGTTGACAGTCAAGTTTTGGGTTTAAACTAAAGGTGAAGTTGTGCAATTGCACTCTTCCTTTTTCTGGTTCATTTTCTATTTTAAATTAAAAAAGTGTACGGTGTCACGTGGATTAGCACATGTGTATCTTCCAAGGAGAGTGGTGTGCTTGGGTGGTGACTGCTGACTGGACCCTTAAACTTCCTTACAGTTTGGAAGAGTTTGCTGCTGGAGGAAGGGGTAGGGTGAGAGTCTGGACAGATGCCTACACATCTTCACGGTTGCTAGAAAATAAGACCTGAGGGGCCAGCCCCGTGGCTTAGCGGTTAAGTGCGTGCGCTCCGCTGCTGGTGGCCCGGGTTCGGATCCCGGGCGCGCACCGACGCACTGCTTGTCTGGCCATGCTGAGGTGGCGTCCCACATACAGCAACTAGAAGGATGTGCAACTATGACATGCAACTGTCTACGGGGGCTTTGGGGAGAAAAGGGGAAAAAAAGAAGGAGGATTGGTAATAGATGTTAGCTCAGAGCCGGTCTTCCTCAGCAAAAAGAGGAGGATTAGCATGGATGTTAGCTCAGGGCTGATCTTCCTCACAAAAAAAAAAAAGAAGAAGAAAATCAGACCTGAGATGCTTGGCTTCTGCCATCAGGTCACTTTCTCACAGCCAGTAAGTGGTAGCGTATATGTTTAGCGTGTGACCGGTATTTTGCATACATTTAGCTCTTTTAATCCCTGTATTAACTCTGGGAGGTAGTTATTTTTTGTCCATTTTGCGGATGAAAAATTGAGACTCACAAATAGTAAGTAAGGTGCTAGCAGCTGCACGTCTGGTGATTGCAGAGCTGGCAGCTGCAGGGTCTGAGGTGCCAGCGCTCACGATTCTCCGTGCTGCCCTGTGGACCTTTTCCCATTTCGATGCGAACAGAAGTCTGGTGGGCAAGGGGGACGTACTAGTGTGTGTGAGTCTTGTTTGTTCATCTTGCAAATTCCGAGGTCTCCTTTATTCGGTGCATTTTCCCAGAGCTCACAGAACTTTTGAAGTTTTTTAAGTGCCCCGCCCCCGCCAGTATCCCCCTGTAGAGAAGAGGCGGGCATTGACTTTATTTTAGTATTCAGGATTGATGTGCATGCAGAGTGAAAGTTATATACTCTGCTCCAGGTTTGTGAGACCTGGGAGCTTAGTGCTCCCCTGGGTGCGAGTAGTTGGCAGCGTTGTCTTTCGTCGGGGGCCTTTAGAATGCTCTTCCAAGGTGGAGGTGGCTGAGCTTTGCCCCACACACAAGTCCCCTGATCTCCCGGGACCAGGGGAGACACTGGGGGAGTGGTCTGTGGTCAAAGCAGGGTGTGTGACCTTGGAACAGGACAAAGCGAAGAGCTGCCCGGCATCATGGAGGGCTTGATAAACACTGCTCCCACTCTAGAGGAGGGACAGCTGAGAGGCTTCGGATGTAACTGAATCTGGAGAACTGGGTGGATTAAAATGACTTCTGTCCTGTTTCAGAGACATTTGACATCTTTAGAAAATTAATACTGTAATCCATCTTACCAGTACCAGTTTATTTTCAGTGACAATAAAAGCCATTGCCTTTTTTTGGAATTGAAAAGAAGTGTTGCAAATAGCTGGCATCCACTGGGAGAAATGAATGCACTATACAGGAAGCCCCACCTTAACGTCTGCAGCAGTAACAGAGCACTCATGAGTTCTGAGTAAAGCAGTGGCTAGCGTAGCTTCTCAGGAGACCGTCCTCTCACCGTGAGTTTGGACGTTCAGTGTTGAGCACATTGCTCCCTGTTCCGGGATCCCTGCCTGGGCTTCCTGTGCAGAGCCGGTGGCTGTGTCTAGAGCGGGGCCGAGCACGTTGCCAGGATATTTCACCGTCTTTCTGCTCTTCAGAGCAGATCTCTTACCAGATTGGTTTGAGATTTATCAAGGATTTCTGAGACCTGACTATAAATTTCAGGCAATGGCATATCTGTAGTATTTTAGTACTACAGGAAATTTAAAAAGAATTTGGGCAGAAGGTATAAACATTGCAAAATGATGTAGCCTACGACAGTGTAAATTAAGAGTTTGATTGTACTGACTCTCCTGCCCTCTTTTTCCTTTGGTGTTCTCTTAGAAGCCTGATGTTCTGACCACTGGGGCCGGGAATCCAATAGGAGACAAACTCAATATTATGACAGCAGGGCCCCGGGGGCCCCTTCTGGTTCAGGATGTGGTTTTCACTGATGAAATGGCTCACTTTGACCGGGAGAGAATTCCTGAGAGAGTCGTGCATGCTAAAGGAGCAGGTGAGAGCTCTATTCAGTTGTTGCAAAAGGATTGTTTCGTAACACTGGGGTTAAAATTATTTCTCAAAAGGCTGGAGCTCCTTTAATAGAAGTGCCAAATCTCCATTCCTGGGAGAAAGGAGGAAGTCCATCAATAGAGGAATTAGTAATTCAATGATGGTTAGTTCCCTAGATTGCACATTATATATAAAATGCTTTATTTTATTAAAGATAAAAGTAACCTTCCTTTTCTTCCATTATACAGTTTAGTGAAGAAATAAGAATATAGAAATACAGACACAGACGTACTGTAATTGTAACAAGATTTAGATGGTGCACTAACTGGATAAATACAGGAATGAGCTGTGCAAAATTGAGGATAGTTGTGTTAGGGTGATGGGTTTGTGGTGATTTTTCCTTTTGGTCCAAAACTTCTGTAAAACTTTTATCTTGCTTTTATTACAGAAACAAAAGATGGGGTTGGTGTTTCAAAGGAAGCTACACACTCAGTAGGAAAAAGAAAGCGTGATAGAAAGGAAGAGAACGTTTTTCTCTTAGCTGTTTACTTGGACTCCCAGTTAAGGACTGCCTAGTTTCTTTATTTTCTTGTCTTTCAGCTTCTCCAACGTTCTTTGCCTGGCTTTTCCACCATGGCTTTTGAAACGCTGTTCGGTGTGTGGTTTGGCTCTGTGGTGTCCTTCCTAAGTGTTTATTCTTTCTTTCTCTGTGTTTTCTCCTCCTCTCTGTTCTTCTCTTTCTCTCCGGGGTCCCACATGTAGTTCCAGGCCCTCTCGGGCCCTGTGTCCTTGGGTCAACCTTGACGAGCTACTTCCAGCCTCACCCATCTCCTCCTCTTGGCTCCAGCTGTGGAGCCCTCGGTTTAGCACTGAATGATGGCAGGGCTTTGCAGTTTGCTCTTGTCACTTGTGTGTGGACATCTCCCCTTCTCCCATCATATTGGAAGCTCCCAGTGCTAAACGATCAGTTTCTCTTGTCACCCAGATGCCTATTGAGGGCCTGATGGTCCGAGTGATGGTTTCCATGATGAAGATTTCTGTGTCTTTCTCTTTAGGGGCTTTTGGCTACTTTGAGGTCACGCATGACATTACCAGATACTCCAAGGCAAAGGTATTTGACCAAATTGGAAAGAGGACTCCCATTGCAGTTCGGTTCTCCACTGTGGGTAAGTCAGTGTGTTTGTGTGACTGGTGTTGCTTAACTCAACCCTGCATCTTATTTGGGGCACTTAAAACTTAATTTCAAAAAAAACTTATTAGACGATAGGAAACAAGCGCTTCTCCAAATTATAGCAAGGTTTTACAGTGGAAAAATATTTTAAGACATATAGGAAGTTACTTATAATTCTGTTTGTTGAGCTCTTAGGAAATCACACTTATGCAGAGGCCACCTCTGCAATTCTGTGACATTTGGAAAGAACTTTTACAAGTGGTTGCCTCAAACGAAAGTGTGGAGTGGGGATCTTAGTCAATAACCATGATAACAGCTGCCCTTTATTGAGAATTTACTCTGCCAGCCATGGGTAGATGCTTTCCTGACATTATTCCTAATCCATAGGTCTACTTTGCAAGGCGGGATTATTTCTATTTCAGTTTTCCTCATGTTACAGAGCTAGTAAGAATTAAATCTGTCATACTACACCACACACACCATGATGCATGATTAATTCTGTTTCTCTGTGAGTCTGTGTTTGTGCATTTTAAAAATACAGTGGGATGCAAAAGTAAATGAAATTAAGAATAAGAACCTATATTGTAACTCATTTTCTTAATATTAACCTCATAATTTTGACAACTCACTTACTCGCTTTATTCACTACCTTAATCTTTATAATTATTCTTTTATTTTAATTTCATGTTTGGACAAAGCTGCCTTATGTTAAATGGATAATCTCTTCACCTCTTATTACATATACTCTCATTACTCTCAATTAATTTATTTGTTTAATTGGTATACCAAATTAGCTGGTAGGTGGTAGAAATAATGACCCAGGTACTTAAACATCTAATTTACTTTTAGGAAATGGATTGGAAAAGATAGAGCTCAGTGTTTCCTTATGACTTTAGGCTTCTTGGATTCAAAGGACTCTGGCTTAGGCTTCATTTTTCCGATTTGACTCTTCTAGCTGGAGAATCGGGCTCAGCTGACACAGTTCGTGACCCTCGTGGGTTTGCGGTGAAATTTTACACCGAAGATGGTAATTGGGATCTTGTTGGAAATAACACCCCCATTTTCTTCATCAGGGATGCCATATTGGTGAGTGATAAAGTATTTTGCACTCTACGAATATCGGTTGATTCAAATTGATTTCAGATACTCTGTATAGAGTGGCATTTGAAGAGAGGCCCTGGGAAAGGCAAAAAAGAGAATTCGGGTTGGCTGGATTGCCTTTTTAAACACATTTTTCCATATTTAGTATTTTTTTTATGATATCAAATAACAGCAATTACCATTGGTCTTAGATTTGCAGTTTCAAGATTCACTGACTTAATGGAAATAGTCCAGTTTTCCTTGCAGAGCATGGAAAATTAATAAAAAGAGGTGCTTTGCCCTAGAAACAGGTAGAGGGTAAATTTCATTTTAGGGTTTGCAGTTTAAAATTCTAGGATTATATTGTTCTAAACTAGCAATGGGCGACTTACAATGTCAGACACCATAATTCCTGTAAACTTAGTTTTTGTTTTTTTTCTCTCTTTTTCCATTTAGTTTCCATCCTTTATCCACAGCCAAAAGAGAAACCCTCAAACGCACCTGAAAGATCCGGACATGGTCTGGGACTTCTGGAGCCTGCGTCCTGAGTCTCTGCATCAGGTGGGGCCACTTCTTTTTCACTGTATTATATCAGCTGGGATGGACCGTTGATTGTGCCTCACACTGTGTTTCTCCGGGTTTGGCTCTTTTATTAGAACTGATTTCTGACTTTCTTTTTGGAAGACTTCCTCAGATTTCGTCATCCTGAAGAGTTCTATAGACTGCTTTTGTTAATCTTCCCCCATTCATAGACCTTCAGTGATGCTAGAGACATTATTGATTGACTTTTAGCGATGTTAAGGATTAAAGTCTCTAGTGTGAGGTAAAGCTCTTTGTATTAGGGAAACGAGGGGAAACTAGTACCAAATGAATTCGCTATTAAAATAAATTTTGAATAACAAGTTAAGCTAATTTTCAGATTTGTTTGTGCTTTTCTTTATAGAATTCTGACCCGTGAGGTTAATGATTTATATTTCATTCTGCTTTAAAATTCTTCCATTTGTTTGTTATTTTTTATAAATGATAATAGTAACCTTTCCTCTGGGTACTTGGCTATGTTATTAAGGGATTTTCGGGAAACTTAGGCATGTCTTAAAAATCTAAGATGTTTTGATTTAAACTGAAATCTTTTAGGCTTTATTTTTCTGTTCCGTAGGTTTCTTTCTTGTTCAGTGATCGAGGGATTCCAGATGGACATAGGCACATGAATGGGTATGGATCACATACTTTCAAGCTGGTTAATGTGAAGGGAGAGGCAGTTTATTGCAAATTCCATTATAAGGTACGTGTTGCCTTTGGGGCAGGGCACAGGCTCCCACCACCCACGTCTCCTTACTTCTCTTGAGGACTGGGCAAAGATCAAGGCCTCTCCCACCTTTCCCTTACCCCCCACCCAAGGATGAGAAGTATTGATCTAGTTGATCAGTACCCTGAGTACTTTGTTGGCTGCTGCCTGAGTGAATAGATTCTCGCTGCCCAATCAGAAGAACCGTGTGTGGTCTCTTTGGTCTCTCCTTATCATGTGGCCAGAGGGCAAGGCACACAGCTGCTTTCAGTAATCAGGCTTTCTTCTCCTTCTGGACCATGGGGGCTCTGGCATTAATGTTTGGAAAAATACTTGCTTGTGCTGGCTCTCAGGTATAATGTTGCTGGTGCTGGCAGGTACACGTTGAAATTCTTTCTCCCTGGAGTGGGAAGGACTAAGATTTGGTTTGGGCTCAAAGGTAAGGAGATAATACAGGCCTCCAGACTAGGCAAAAGGAGATTTCTGCCTGTAGCCTAGGTTTCTAGAGCTCTTTGTTGGAGTTTGGAGATAAGCCTTAGCAAACAGTAAGGTGTTATATTGCCTTGCCTTTGCTAGCCCTGAGTCACTGTTCTGAGCATCCTTTGGGGCCCAGGAGGGGGCACTGAAGCAGAATTGGGGCATTCCTGTCTTTAAAATACCAATCTCACCATCACTTTCAACATCGGATGCTGTCTTTCCAAAAACATTTCTTCTAAATTTTTAATTCATCTATCCATTTGTTACCGTTTATTGAGGGTATACTATGAACAGGGCAGATAAGTAAAATCAATTACAAGTGTCAGAAAACAACAGTTCTCCTTTTTACATTTGCTTTCATACAATCAGATCAAATCAGTTACCTTTGGGGAAGCTTTTGAGAACCTTTTAATTAATTGAAGTATTTTAAAGGGCTCTCTCTTAGTATGATCTTGGCATTTGTTAGAATTAGCAATATTCCAGAGAACACTAGAAGGTTCTTGAAAAACCTCTGGTTGCCTAAGAACTTGTTTCCCAATACTGCTGCTAAAATAAGCAGAGACAGAAGTGGACCATGACAAATACAGTCTCCCTCTTAATGATATCCCACAGACCTGTTTTCTTCTGTCCTGTCTTAATCTTTATCTGAACAACTAATGTAGGTATATCAAACAGGAGAACCGTCACCCCTCTTTTCACTTATGACTTGGGTATATAATCTTTGGCCAGGAACAGCTTTAAGAAACAGTTGACCCATTGGCTTGTAATTGCCAAAAGGAGCAGTGTAGCGTCACTTACAGCAGGACTAAATGATTGTATCTGGGACAGGTAGCATGGTTGGTGGCTTTCCTGTTAGACCAGTCTGAACTCAGATCTTCCCTCTTCCGGATGCCTGTGACTTGGGCGTATTATTAAAAGTTCTCTGAGTTCCAGGTTTGTCTCTATAAAACTGGGATGATAATACCAGCTGTCCCTGGTCTTGGAAAGATTGGATTGCTTGGGGATCTTTTCAGCAGAGGGCCCTGAGGTAGCCTGAGATCTACATGGATTCATCAGTCTGGATTATTCTGACCTAAGATTATTCTTTTCTAAGCTCAAGAGAGTCAATTAAAATCAGAAGGTGTTGCAGTATTATTGCACAATGTAGTGTATTAGCTCTCTGGGTGATCTGCAGATAGTGACCTCCATTTTTTAATCCTGAGGGTGGCTTTCCTTCTGGTCTAATAGTAAGAAGGGTTCAAATCTCACCACTGGCCAGAGAGAGTTGAGATTTCTGTGGTAGCAATGGACCAGGCTTCCAGAGTTGACTTTTGCTAAGGAAATCTCTCCATGGCGCTTGGCTTGTGGGAGATCTTTCAGAGTAAGATATAGGTGGGGAACCTACTGAAGGGCAGTAGGTGTGATAGTAGGAGCACTGGTGAAAGTGACTTAACTTCTCTGGGTCTTAATGGCTTGTTTGAAAAGTCAGAATACTAATTTTGCCTGCTCAGAGTCAGAGAACTGGTTCAGAGTGACTGTCCTGAAGTTCTTTTCAGCTCTCTGAACTGTGATGCTATGGTTTCTTAGAAAAAATAAAAGGAAGAGAGTGGGGATGGAAGGATACTAGCTGAGCGCAATCTCAGTAACTGATTTGAGCTATTATAAAACAGGGAATTAAAAAAATTACTTCAAGCAAAAAAAAGAGAAGTCCTTTAATTTTATTAATCATTTGTTTATTGTTAAAATATATTTTGATTTTTTTTCTGATTCGAAAAGTAACATGAGTATAAAAATTCAAATAATAGCCACTCTGGAAAACAGTTTTTAAATTCCTCAAGAAATTAAAGGTAGAATTACCATATGACCTAGCAACTCCATTTTGAGATATATACTCAAAAAATCCACTGAATGGACACTTTAAAATGGTAAATTTTATGTTATGTAATATTTTATGCCAAAATTTTTTTTGGCTTGTTTGAAGACAGTCATGCAGCATTGTTTATGTGGGTGAACAGTTGTAAATAAACTATATGTCAACAATTAAAAAAATTCAAATATGGTCATGCTTCGCTTAATGACAGGGATATGTTCTGAGAAATGTGTCGTTAGATGATTTCATCATTGTGCAAACATCATAGAGTGCACTTACACAAACCTAGATGTTACAGCCCACTACACACCTAGGCTACGTGGTGCTAATCTTATGGGACCACGGTCGTATATGCAGTCCGTCGTTGACCGAAATATTATGCGCTGCATGACTGCAATATAGAATACATAAAGGGAAAGATAGAACTAATCTTAAATATGAAATGTGTAGACAGATTACCTGGACATTTAAAGGAATCAGTATAATCAAGTAGAATTTCTTGTTGATAAATTTATATTTGTATCAGATTTGAACAGTGGAATTATCAGTACAAGGAAAATCCAGTCTTTGAGTAGTGTTGCTCATAATCCTTCAATGAATTACTGATTAAAGTTCAATAGCTTTGCCAATAAGTTTCAGTTTGAGCTTCTTTCTTTCATTCTGTAGACTGACCAGGGCATCAAAAACCTTTCCGTTGAAGACGCAGCAAGACTCTCCCAGGAGGACCCTGACTATGGCCTCCGGGATCTCTTCAATGCCATTGCCACAGGCAACTACCCCTCCTGGACCTTCTATATCCAGGTCATGACCTTCGCTGAGGCGGAGACTTTTCCATTTAACCCGTTTGATCTTACCAAGGTGAGTGAGTTAACAGCTAGATTGTTTTTTGAGTCTCTCCTTGCCTAACTTTGAGACATTTGCAGTCAGGCATTCACAGTGACAGGGACGTCACCCATGCACAAGTGCAGCAGGGCCACCTTAGAGTCTCCTCGCTCTCGGCTGAGTCCTCGCCGGCATCTCTCTTCAGTCCTTGTGGGATAAGTTCACTGGGTTTGTCTAGGTGGCTCCATCTGTTCTTAGCGATTCTGAAAAGCTGATGTCCCTTTGCCCAGGGGAGGTGTTGATATTTACCGTTTACTGTTGTGAAAGATCCAACCAATGTACTCACCTTAAGTTCTTATCATTTTATTGGATTAAAAAATTATTATTTTCACTTACTATCATTGGCTTCACTGTATTTGAAAGCTTAGTTTTTATGGGTACTTTAATTTCCTTCAGTTGGTGGTCTGGTAATTGTGAATATGACATTATTTTTAGGTTTGGCCTCACAGCAGCTACCCTCTTATCCCAGTTGGTAAGCTGGTCTTAAACCGGAATCCAGTTAATTACTTTGCTGAGGTTGAACAGATAGCCTTTGACCCAAGCAACATGCCACCCGGCATTGAGCCCAGCCCGGACAAAATGCTTCAGGTAAACCTGGTGGATGGAGATATTCTGAGGCAGGAGTGTGTGAGCGTGACACACACACAGTGTGTAATTTGGCATGACCTTTATATGAAGAATTAACTAGAACATCACTTAAACTTTAATCTGGGTCTTTAGTTCCTGTGGGACTGCATGAAACATCCTTAGATGGGCATTAGAATACAAACCAAATTTCATTGTAAAATCCCTCGATTTGTTAAGACTTTGACATTTAGTCTCTTAATTTAAAAAATGTTGTATTAGCAATGCCTCGTGTTTATAGAGTGAAGCACTCTTTGTTCGGTCTGTAACTGATGGGAGGGAATACAGTTCATTGATTGTAACACCTTGGTCAGCATAACTTTATTCATTTCTTCTTCTGTGGTGATGCTTGAATTTTTCCATCTGTAGAAGGAGATCAGAGATTATTTTTATGAACTAAGGCAATGGGTTAATTTAACCTTCTGTCTTGTTAATGTTTTGGGCACTCAGGATTTTTTTATCACTCTGCAAGATGCTCTTTCAAGAGTACAAAGAGTAGAACATTCTTTGGACCAGAAATCAGTAGGAAAATAATTGGCTTGGTAATTGTTGAGTAAGTCAGTCTTTGGTGTTTTTGGACCATGACCACAAAACACAGGTTAACGATTACACGCTAGGGCAGGCCACAGTGACTGATGGCTACTTCTTATGTAAGAATCCAATTCCAGTTCAGGTGTCGCCCTCTATGGAGGCAAGCTAAGATTCCCTTGTTTTTTTAATATTAACTTTTTTGCTTTGACATTGGGAATATCTGAGGCTTTTATAGAAAATAAGTTTTTCATTAGTTTTTCGTTCAATTTAACTATATAAATGGAATACCTATCTACTGTGTGTGATAGATAACAGATATTAAGACACAGAATAACTGTGATGTAAGGCAGAGTGCTGTGGTGAATCATAAGGTGGAGTCTTGGCTGATGGGAGGACGATGGCCAAGTTTGAGAATGAGGTAGCATATGAGATGGCTTTTGAAGGATAGATAGGATTTCGATTTTCAGTAGAGGTAAAATGGGGCCAGGAGAGGGACGGCAGTGTGGGCGCAAAGGTGGCCCATGTGGAGTGTACTTACACGGTAAGCAGTCACTCTTTCCTGACTTAGAAGAAGTAAGACTGGACAGGTACGTTGAGCATATATCACAGGGACCTTAACGCCTGAGTAGAGGTTTATACCACTGTTGGCCCTTCTAGGAAAAGAAAAATTTTCTTCAGTTTTGGGACTGTGATCTGGTATATATCAAGTAGAATCACTCCTGTTGGTTATAAATAGAAAAGGAGGGAACTGGGGGTTGGGAATAGAAAAGGGAAGTGAAACGGATAGGATTACAGAGGGTGAGCGGAAGTGCTTGCCCCAGACTGAAGAGCAGAGGAAACCAAGACGACGTGACCTTGGGCCCGAGCCTTCCCCGAGGTGGGGGTTGGAGGGGAGCTGAACTGTGTGAAGGAGAGGTTAATGGGATTTTCCAAGGCTCGAAATTGTCCAGGGTAGAGCTAAGGCTGCATAGTCTGGGTATGGAGGGAACAGGTTGAGGAATACAAGATCACCAAGGCTCTTCATGAGAAGCCAGGTCATCGTGAGTCTCTGGGACCACAGGGAGACCTGGGGCAGTTCGTAGCTCCGAGTCATATAGTTAGAAGGGCTCTGATGCACTGGATGGAGGCCTGGGCCCCCAAAGGAAAAGGACCCCATAGCAAATATGTATTCTCTGCAGCAACAAAAAACAAACGTGTAAGACATGTCGTTGAAACTCTGGGGAAGAGAGGCCTGAAAAAGGACGGTAAATGGAAATCATATAATTCCATTAGTGACTTGAATTATATGAATTATAAGAACGAGTCATATAATTTCTATCAGTATTAATTTCAGTTATGGCAAACATATATTTTAAATTTAATGTGCTGTCTTTATAGTTTTTTTTAAGTGTTTAAAAAAGTGTTCGAAAGAGCTTTTTTGGGGTCAGTCAAGATATCAATTCTCAGCCTAGTTTTTACAACTTCTTGGGCCATTTAGCTGTGGGTTCTAAGGCCAGGGAGCATGTTAGGAGCCGTACACAGGGAGGGCTGTTGTACTTCTTTTGGCATTTGTTGAGCAGTGAGGAATAGTTTAAGGTTTTTTGAGTAGGCAAGCAGCATAAGCTGTGTGGGGTTGTAGGAAGATTCTTTTGGCAGGAATGTGTAGGATGATGTTGGAGGAGGGACTAGAAGTGGAGAGCCAGTTAGGAGGACTTGGAAATGACTCTGATGAGAAGTAATGAGTGTCTGAGGGTGGTGGTAGTTGTACAGTAAATGGACAGTGTTCCCGGTTACCTTGTAACAGGTCACGTTATACATTTTAAAACTTTGTCATCCAAAGTGATAAGCCAGACCAGGGTGAAAACGACACAGCTGTATAAGGCACGTCACGGAGAGACAGTCCCCAGGCTCCTGATGAAGCAGGTGCCTCCTTTCCTCACCACCACACTCTGCAGTTTGCAGGACTGGAGAAGCTGTTGCCCGATTCCTTGACTGGGAGAGCCTTGTTCTGCCTTCTCACCCGGGTCCACAGGGGGCTCTGGCACAGGGCCTTGGGGGAGTCCTGGATTCGAGTCAGTGTCAGCGTCTGGCCTGGCTATGCCCATTTCCTGACCTTGACTTCGTGAGTCTCCACCCACAGGTGGGGTAGGGTGGCCTTATAAACATAAGGTGACACAAAACCAGAATTACGTGATAGAGGCTACATCCAGGAGCTTGATTGTGTCTCCTATCCTGTAAACTTGGTAAAGTTAGAACACAGCTTAGCCTATTTTAAGCCAAAGGAGGCAACTAGCTTCCAGACAATAGGTTCTTAGTCATGGTGGCGTGACAGTCACCTAAATATTACATTGGACTATTTGAAATGATATGGGAGGTAGTCACTCAGCCAAGAGCAAATGATTGACAGAACAGTGAGACTGGATTCAGCTTGTTGGTATGAGTGATTTGGTACAAAATAATAGCATAAGTTGCTCTATTCAACTTGATTTTTGTTTCGGCTCATAGAATTAAGGATATAATAATACTCTTTCAGATTCAAGGCCAGTGATAAAGTCAATGCAAGAAAACTGCTCATAGAGTAGAGCTTTGAATAATGAGAAAATTTAAATAATTGGATACTAAGATTAATGAACAGTTAATCATAAAGCATTTTATTTCAACACTAACTGAAAGAGATTACAAAATGCTTACATCCTGCCCTGGTATCTATGTAACGTAATTTAATCTTTGATTCTGGACCTTGGGCATTATAGAGCCATCATTCTGAACCACAGCTTTCTTTGTGTAGTACTTTATATCCAGAAAGTCTCAGAGCTCAGAGTGGTGCTGACATAATTCAGAATGCAACTTGGGAGGTAATTTTTTGAATAATTTCCCATACGGTTGGTTTTGTAGTACTTTGCTTTTTGTTAAGAGCAGACGGTTGATCCCTCCCCTGGAGTGGGAGAGTGGGGTGGGGGTGGGGGAATGGAATTAGTTCACGCTTCCAGTTCATTGAGTTCTAGCAAATTGATTTTACAACATGATACCTCCTTGAGAATGGGAAATAACTCATTACTTGAGAAAAAAGGAGGTATTGTCTAGAACAGATGTGAACCCTGTGTTCATTGCAGCGTTATTCACAATAGCCAAGACTTGGAAGCAACCTAAGTGCCCATCAAGGGACGAATGGATAAAGAAGATGTGGTATATGTAAACAATGGAATACTACTCAGCCATAAGAAACGATGAAATCCAGCCATTTGTGACAACATGGATGGACATTGAGGGTATTATGCAAAGTGAAATAAGTCAGAGGGAGAAGGTCAAATATCGTATGATTTCCTTCATTAAGTAGTAGATAATAACAACAACAAACAAACACATAGAGACAGAGATTGGATTGGTGGTTACCAGAGGGGAAGGGGGGAGGGAGGAGGGCAAAAGGGATAATTCGGCACATGTGTGTGGTGATGGGTTGTAATTAGTATTTGGGTGGTGAACATGATGTAATCTATGCAGAAATAGAAGTATAATGATGTACACCTGAAATTTATACAATGTTATAAACCAATGTTACTGCAATAAACAAACAAACAAAAAAATAGAACAGATGTGAAGATGCGTGGATGTTTGGCCCTGTGGCGTGAAGATTAAGGACTGTTCCGTTAGGGAGAGCTCATTTCATAAGAGAGAGGTGGCTCTGCTCTTTCCTGGGGGGTTGGCAGGTTCAGTGGTCACCACATCCAGAGTGCTTTGTGCTTGAATTTTTACGATGAAGTTTTCAGACTGTTCCTGTCTGCTGTGTTACTGCGCAGTCATCGTCTGTTCATTTCTAACTCTAGGGCCGCCTTTTTGCTTATCCTGACACGCACCGCCACCGCCTGGGACCCAACTATCTTCAGATTCCTGTGAACTGTCCCTACCGTGCTCGAGTGGCCAACTACCAGCGTGACGGCCCCATGTGCATGTTCGACAATCAGGGTAGGCCTGAGACACGGGCTCGCCCAGCAAGGGCAGAGCGCACTGCTGCACAGAGAGAGGGCAGGACGCCTCGCCAGGCCGTGGGTTTCAGTCTGGCCCCCGGGGGCCTCCCGTCTGTGAAGATGCTCCACGGGCGCTCCTGGCAACCGCGACCTTTTTGCCCAGCAATGCAGGTTTAAACTGCCTGAGGACCCTCCCTCCTTTTATCTATTGTATATGTTGAGAGCGGGCACCTCAGGTTTCGCTTGCTTTCCATCCAGTAGTGAAAGGCGGGGGGAACATCTTTCACTGGCTCTTGTAGATGAGCATCCAGCTTAGGGGTTGGTTTTAAAGACTCCTCACGTGGTGCGAAATTCCTCAGATCACTCTTAAATCACCAGGACTTCACCTCTTGGAAGTGCAAAGCCAAGAGTTCGTGTCTTTGTGTCTCTGCACTTTGCTGGCGGTGGAGGAGCAGGTCTAGCTAGAATTTGGAGGGGTGGGCTAGGTTAGGATAGGGGAGACAGCAAAGCAGGGGGTTCTCCCCGACCTTTTTTGTCCTAAGTAACTGAATTCATGTAAATCAACTGGTGAGATGAGACTTCACTGCATTTTGGTTTTTGGTCATTTATCAAATTTATGATTTTTTCTTTTAACTACTCTTTTTGGTGCCATATATAAACAGCCTCTATTTCTGATCACTTGTTCTAATTAGAGACTGCTTGGTTAATGTTTTTTGTTTTTTTTAATATTCCACAGTTTAATATATATCTTAGGTGTTTTTTCTCTTTTCCTATTTAGGACACATGTTTTAGCAATAGGCTGCTTACACTGATCCCTTCAGAAATTTCACTGATGATTTATATTTATAGCCATAGATGTCTGTCAAACAAAGATGATTTTTCTGTGATAAAAATAGTACATGTGCTCTCAAGGACATTTGGAAAACATAAGGGAAAGAAGAGAAAGGAAAAGAAAAACCCACTACAGTCCCAACACACAAAGGCCACAGCTGTTGCATTTTGCTATATTTCTTGCCAGTCTTTTCTGTGACTATTTTTTATACACTTAAGATTATTTTGTGTATATAATTTTGTGCCTTGCATTTGTAACCATTGTCACTAAGCCTTTTCCATGCATTTGATAGGTTTACGTGCTCACTAACCAGTTTCATTAGGTGGGTGCAGTATTTCTGCTCTCAGGTTCACAGAGGTGTGGGGTGTGTTGTTGCCCAAAGTCATTGATACTTCCTGTGTCTGTTTTCTGCATTTTTATTCTGAAGTGATTTTTTTTCACTCATATTCCTCGGTCCTTGCGTTATTGAGACTGGGTGTATCAGAGAGGTTCATGTATATTTTGAAACTTCATTAATCAGTAATCGCTTTGTGTTTACCATTCTTGTTTATCATTATAGTGGCATATATAGGGCAGAACTACTTAAGGATGTATTTTGACACACCCTTTACCTGGTTTTAAAAATAGAGCATTTGGACTGTGCTCTTGAAGTTTGGTAGAAGAGCTTAATTAATCCCAGTAGTCAATGACTTGAAGACAACTCCACTTTGAGTAAAGCTCAGAGCTTATTTGGAAATAGAATTTTTAAATTACTCAAATAGGCACACTTCAAAGAGCTTATTCTTAATGAAGAAAACCACTCTAGTGGCTGTTTATTGGAGCCCTTGGCTTTTCATATAGACGTGGCTGACCGAGAATGAATTTCTTGGGCTAATAATTGGGCCCCATAATAGTACGGTGTCCCACCTCTTCCTGCGTGCACTCGGTACTTTGACCAACTTGATATGTAGGCACCCGGATTATCCACTCTGGATAGCCTCTTCTGGCAGCCAGCTGGGTAAAGTTGCAACCCCAGACCAGTTTGTTCCAACTACTTAGTATGTTTCCGGGCCACTCCTTCTGTTTAGGCCGTGTATGCTCAGATGATTCAAGCTTCTGCTAGTATCAGCCCAAGCAGGGTGTAGTTAGAAAAATGAATATGCCAAAATGAAAAACAGCCTCATAATTTATTCCAGAAGTCATAAAAATGTTTTGGTTGTATTTGTCATTTTTTTCCTACAAGTCTACATAAATGAGTGCTGACATACTAGAAATATCAAATTAAAAAAAATCCCTTTTTTATTCATCTGTGGAGGGAAGTGAAAGTCAAGCTAGAATTGAATAGTCATAGTCAGTGAAGGAAAGAGACCCTAAGAATCTTAAAAGCCTTTAAGGAATAGTAAGGAGCGTTCCGTAATGGGGATGTGGTACGTGTTGGAATGGCAGAGATGCAAAGCCCAGACCCCAGATCCAGCACTGACAACCGTGGGACCTGCAGCAGTCCGTGAATGTCCCAGGGCTCAGTTGGTGTGTCTGTAAATTGAAGGAGCACAGCTATAACTTTCAGTTGCTCCCGAGGATTTTGTGATTCAGTGTTTGAATTGAGCCCAAGCCCCAAGGAAGCCCTCAACTTTGAGATGCGTCTTTGGGTCTTGTCGTCTGTGGGGGCCAAATCAAACCTGTATAAGTGTGTTTGTACTGGTAAGCATCAGAAGATTTTAGAGATGAGGTCATTTGAAGTGTTCAAAGGGAATTTGAGATCTCTTCATTAACACTCAGAGTGAGACAGCCCAGGGGAGCCGTTGGAAGATGGCAGTGTTCTCTAAGAATCTGAGGACTGCCTGTAGCTACATGTGGGACGTTAAAAATAATATGCGCATGGCATGTATGTGTATGGATGTGTGTACACACACGTACATGAACATATACATATACGTATATATATGTATAATTGCCACTTGAATTTATTTCTTATCACACTCACTGTTTGCAGACTTGCTTCATGTTTCATCTCCCTGAGTAAATCCATATGGTTTTCCTTTAAAGGTGGTGCTCCAAATTACTACCCCAACAGCTTTAGTGCTCCGGAACAACTGCCCTCTGCCCTGGAGCATAAGTTCCGATGTTCCCCGGATGTGCAGCGCTTCAACAGTGCCACTGAGGACAACGTCACTCAGGTAGTGGCTCCTTTGTCTGCTCTGGGAGTTGCTCGGTCATTCTCCTTGTCCATGTCTGCATGTTTTGCCCCTCTTAAAGTGTCTAATATGTCTTCAATTGAATTCAGGGAAGATATGTCTAATCATCAGTCAGTCCCTTCAGTAGATGGACTTGAAGAGTTGTGTTACTATGCTCTTTCAGTGTGAGGTCTGGAGACTCATTTCAGTTCCTTCAAAGGTTATAGAAGGGAGAGAAGGGAGAGAGTGGGGGCCATTGGGGAAGCAGTGATCTCATGGAAATCTAAGAAATGAGCAAGTAAAGCTTAAGTATAGCCAAATCTAAGCGTCTGGGCAGGACAGCCCAGATTTAAGGGATGAGAACTGGATTCAGAATAGCTCTGGGAGCCTCCATGGCAGGAGCACGGGGGTTTCCTTTGCAGGGCCCGCTGCTCACGTGACTCGGCTCCTCTCTGTCTGTCTGCTTTCCAGGCTCAACTGTGTCTGCTTACCATGTCCTCCTGTGCTTCTCCTCTTTGCCTCAGAGCTTCTGTTTTCACATTGCAGTGGCTTTGCTGTGACCATGGCCTCACTCTTCTTTATGGCTTCTTTCTCCATGTATTACTTTTTTTGGGACCATTTTTCACTCTGTCTCTCAATACCTCTATATCAGATTCTGAAGAGAGGAGATCGGATTGATTTGACTAATCTTTTCACTCTTGGTTGCATCATTGGCCTTTGGCCAGCCTATAGTGACCCGGTGGCCCTGGATCAGGTGCCCACCCTCTTTCGCATCACCTCTGGGTGTCTAAGGGCTGTTCCTTCAGTAGCTGCAGTGAAAGAGGCCCTTTGACTTGAAGGGTAGCCACCTCATCAATGTGTCCAGTGCAACTTACACCACACACAAGAAAAGGACAAAGCTAGAAAGTATAGTGTCCTAGAGGTCTGCTTGGGTAGTTGGTGTTAAACTTAGTATTTAAATTAGAAGAGGACCTATTTCTAGTTCCTCAATTTGTAAATGTGGCTTCCAAGTAAAGTAAAAGTAAAATATACTTGAATACGTGAATTAATTCATTGTGGAGATATCTTTATTTGAAAGGCACTTGTGTGTCTATAAGTGTTTATATGTGTCTATAAAAAAGAAAGTACTTTACTACAGGATAGAAACCATATTTAGATGAAATTAAACCTCTCCTGGAAGCCTTTTATAGTAACCACATTATTTCTGGTGATGCAGGTGATACCAAGTGTCTCACAATTCAGTCCCTGCCTCTCAAAGAATTGTGCCTGCATGAGGTCTGTTCTGGTGTTAAACTAGCTAATACAACCGCTGCAAAAATTAGTTTAGAAAATGAGGCTGTTGCTTACACATTAAAATTTACTGTATGATCATTCTTGTTTTATTGAGAGATTTTCTTATCACTATATAGAACGCATGTTTTTAAGCAGTCATGATGCTGCTTATAGGTTCATAGCACAATCAGTAACTGTAAGAGTCATGTGGAAAATAAATAAGCAGGTCCAGATTTATACTCTTAGAAATGCTTCCCTGGGACTTCCGCTCCTGGCTTATGGGAGACTAGCTTGTGTCAGACCTGTCCTCTCATGGAGAACGTTGGAAAGCTAGAAAAATTACAAAAAGCTTGACCTTGTTTGAAGGCTTTGGAGAGCTAACAAAGGAACAAGGATCTGTGGGGCCCAGGTCTTGGACAGAAAAGGAGTGCAGAGATGTGAGCTTGACATTTGGTGTCCTTTCCTCATGAGGCCTTTATTACTTTGAAAGCATTGGGTAAGGTGCTGAGCAGAGTTGACAGCATTTTTATGGGTCTGGAGGAATGAAAATTGGAGTTCTGGGCCTGCTAAGGAGGAAGGCCTCTAGTTAACATCCCAGGCATTCAGCTCGAATCCTGGAAGGGCCACCTCTAGGAAGAGGGGCAAACCTGAAATAAACTTGCCCTCGAAAAACCTGTTTGCATCTGCTCTATCTCAGACTGGATCAGGGTGACCTCCCTCTATCCCAGCTGTCTGCCAGAGCAAACATAAATCTTTGGAGGAAAATAGAGCCTCAAATTCTCTCTCTATTTTTTCATACACAAATGTCCAGCATTCAATAATACATTATCAGGCATACCTGACATATAAGACCTATGACTGAAAACCATGAGGGGAAAAAAACCTGGTAATAGAAACAAACCTATTAGAGATCCAGATAATGGAATTGTCAGATACAGATCTTAAAATGACTGTGATTAATATGTTCAAGAAAATAGATGACAGCATGGAGAATTTAATAAGAGAACTTTAATTTCTGAAAAAAAGAATTGAATGGATATACTGAACTGGAAAATGCAACAACTAAAATTAAGAATTTAGTAAATGGTTTGAAAAGGAGATTAAACACAGCTGAAGAGAAGATTAGTGAATTGGAAGACAGAGCAGTAGATATTATCAAGATGAGCTCATGGAGAGAAAAAAAAGAACTTCTCTTCATTATGAGACACCATTTAGAGATTGAGAAGGCAAGCCATAGAATGGGAGATTACATTTGCAATTCATCTAACAAATGATTCATGTACAGAATATGTAAAGAACGCCTACAGAGCAATAAGAAAAGGATGGACAAATGAATAGAAAAATGGGCAAAAGACTTGAATAGGCACTTCCCAAAGGGGATATCCAAATGACTGAAAAACATGCAGAAAGGTGTTTTATCTCATGAGTCATCAGGGATATGCAAAATGAAACCCCAGAGATACCACTGCATATGCAGCAGAATGACTAGAATTAAAGACTGACCATACCAAGTGTTGTGAGAATGGGAAACAACTCTGACTCTCATATGAGTGTAAATTGGTTCAGCTGTTTTGGAGCATTGTTTGTCCGTATCCATTAAAGCTAAACATATGTGTGTCTTTTGACCTAGTAAGTACATTCTTATATAGATACCCAATAGGAACAGGTACACTGAGCATGAGAAGACACGTACAAGACTGTTCATATTACCTGTGTTCATCAACAGAAGCTTGGATAAACAAACAATAGTATATCCCCACAGTGTATAGCAGTGAAAATTAATGAACCTTTGCAATAAGCAATAACGTAGATAAATTACAAACATGACATTGAGCTAAAAGGCTAGACACAAGAGTATAGCCTGTATGATTCCATTTATGTAAATTTCAGAAAGAGGCAAAACACATTTATAATATTAGAAGTCAAAAAATTGCCATTGGAGAGGCAGTTGGAGAGAGGGGATAATGACTGGGAGGAGGGGCTATGGCAGGGAGATTTCTGAGGGGTGAGGGTGGTTGTTACACAGTTGGGTTCACTGAAAAGTCATTGAACTTGGCACTTATGATTGGTACCCTTCACTGTAGGCATGTTACACTTAAAAAGCTTACTAAAGAAAAATCATTCTCTCACTTTGTGTAGACTAGTAAAAAGGTCACTTTTTCTTTAAGAGGAATTTGGTCCTGCCGTTAAAGGTCTGTAGTTAAAGCGTTGGAGCTGATGAAGCAGCTCAGAATCCTTGTCTGGTTCGTAAAGTAGAACAGCCATCCCGTTGTGGAGTCCATGCCCTCCTGTAGTGAGCAGGCGACTTGTATGTATGTAGATGGTGGCGGTTAGCCAGGCGTAAGAATATTCAAATCAGGTCACTGGAGACTTCTTCAGTTTGACTTCCAAGTCCCAACCTGCCTTTTACCTGAACAGTGGTGAATGCTGAGGCTAGGGCTAGATGATAGGGGTTACATATTGTTTACATTGTAGTCGTCTCGTGCCACAGGCTGAAATAGAAATGCTGTTTTAACTTTGTGTACGTACATGTAGTTCTTTTTTTTTAACCTCTTAAAACTGTGGATTAACCAGATCTTTGGGAGAGCAAGTATGTTATATGGGTTTTATTTGGTGGTGTGTTGTTAAATATTTAACAGTTGGCTCCTGGGGGAAAAGGCCCTGGCTTATAGTGTTTGTCGATTTTCATGATGAAAATATTCACCAGAGCTTATTTCAGGCTGCCAGCATGATGTCACTGAACCTGTGGCATTGGGACCTGATGTTCAGTATCACACTGTTGTGTAGTATTTCCACCATAGAGACATAGTAGACACAGGTGACCTCAAGAGCGCAGGTAATATGTATTAATTAGGAAGTGATATGTTTTGAGGGTTTATTACTTTTGTTTATACTATAATTTATTTAATTCTAAGTTTATATAATTTAATTTTTAATAATGGTCATGTTTAACAACTCACTCACAAAATTCCTAAAAATTTGAGAGTCTGCTTTCATGAGCAAGCTGGCTCCAGCACACCACTGGAATTGCAGGACCAGATTCCTTTTAGTTCAGGATGGTACACTGAAGTGACATAGGAGGCATTTTTTTCTACTTGTCACACATAGACATGCTAGATTAAAAACTTAAAAAAAAAGAATATAGTTGAGCTAACAAACAGGAAAGTTCAATCTCCAGGTCCCAGAAATGAAAAAGGAATCACATTAGTACATGAACCTTGAAGGTATATATTTCATGGGGATAACCAGACCGTTTACATCTTATTAAGATTTTCTGCCTCCAAGGGGCTAGGAGTTGAGGCCTCAGGCTTCACGTGTTGCAGAAGCTAAAAATGGGCTCCTGACGGTAATGATGAGAACCAGGAACCAGCACCCCATTGGGAAAACTACCCACCAGACTGAGGATGCAGCTTGAGAGCATGTGGGCTGTAGATGGAAGCAATCAATTCTGAGAATTGGGGGTCCCTCTCCTGTGCTGTGCTCTGGTGAGGTCCCCACATTCTCGTTCCACTTAGGACCATATGGAAGCCCTGAACTGAGAAACAAGTGAATCAGTGACCCTATTAGGCCTCTGCGGAGATGACAAAAAATCACCACCTGGTGACACCATCACAGCTCCAACACATCTGGTACTTCTGCAGAGGATAACTCCTGGGGAAGAGCGTCACAGGGAAACATTAGAGTACATATGAGGACAGCCAGTGCCCTGAGAAACTGCGTGTGCAGTAGATAGAAGAATCATACACATGACAGAGTAGTCTAAAAGGGGCTTCAAAATAAGCACGTGTAGAGCATTCAAGGACCTACAGAAAGGAATATTATCTATAAGACAAGAATAGGATGTGAGAAAACAAAAACAGGTAGATTTGAAAAAGAACCAAATGGAAATTTCCAGAAACAAAAAATACAATCTTTGAAATAAACATCCAGCAGACAATCTTTGAAATAAAAACCCAACAGATATAGTGACTCACTGGATGTTTAAACAATATGTTAGATAAAGCTGAAGAGAAAATTAGCAAATTGCAGGAGGAAATCCCCATAATGCAGTACTTTGATTGGATTGTGTTAATATTGAAAGTCTGATTTTTTTTTTGAGGAAGATTGGCCCTGTGCTAACATCTGTTGCCAGTGTTCCTCTTTTTCTTTTTTTCTCCCCAAAGCCCCAGTACATAGTTGTGTATCATAGTTGTAGAGTTGTAGCTCTTCTATGTGGGATGCCGCCTCAGCATGGCTTGATGAGCGGTGGGTAGGTCCGTGCCCAGGATCCGAACTGGCAAACCCTGGGCCACTGAAGCGGAACGCATGAACTTAGCCACTGTGCCACCGGGTCGGCTCTTGAAAGTCTGATTTTTAAACATTGGTATCAGATTTAAACTTTGCTCAAAATTTTAAAAAGTGTTTTTATAGTCTGATATTTGATAACTTAGAAAAGCTATGAATATCTCAATATTTTATGAATTTGATTATTTGGCTATTTGGGCTTTATAAACATTAATAGAACAGTGCCTGGTACATTTAGGTACTCAACAAATAACTACTTGTTGAGTGAATGAATGTAATGTTTGAATAAAATTATGGTTATCACCTAGAAATGGTTGACTTCAGAAGTGAGCAGAGGCTATTAGGACTCGTGAACCTGATTCTAAGCACCTGTTTTCATTTTACTCTATGGATAGTCTATTGACATTGATTTAGAGGTAAAATCATTTAGAGATAAAATTAGCAAAATCACTATTAACGCCTGTCTTCTCCAAGAAATCTTGGCTTCTGAATAACTAAGGGTATATAATGAATTAGAGTGTTTTCTTCTGTGATTCTGGGTGTCATGGACAAAGGTTGTGTTGTGACAAGTTTACCTTTGATGACAGTTTGCATGTTCTGGACGTGTCAGTATTAAGGTGTGGTGGAAAGTTTTAATTGTAGGCTATCCTGCCTTCCATTTCTAAGAGATTTATAAGCAGCGACTACAAAGGACCTTATTAAAAAGCAGTTATAAGCTATTATCAGCAATAGAGTTCTTCCTGTTTTGATTAAAACAAAAAGTGAGGAACTCAATACAAATGACAGTTTCAACTATAATTTTAAATTATTCTTCAATTTTAAAAACTTTCTTCATTCTTATGTCCATAAGAAGGCTCACTTTTTCATTTCAAAAGTGGCACCCTGGGTGAGTTCTGTCCGTGATAACCGGTTGTTCGGTTCTCTGCACGCTGTTTTCAATGGGCAGGTGCGGGCCTTCTACCTGAAGGTGCTGAACGAAGAGCAGAGGAAACGCCTGTGTGAGAATATCGCTGGCCATTTGAAGGACGCACAGCTTTTCATCCAGAAGAAAGCGGTGAGTGATGCTCTGTAAGCTGAAGGGTGATCTCTGCTGGCAGGAGCAGGGAGTGCAGCTGTGCCAGAGAACCTGTAAAACGAAAAGTTCCATTTCTGTTTCACTTGAGCTAAGGGGACTTAAAGCAGTTAGTACTAATCCCCAATCAACCTCTGATTATTTTCTGTCCATGTTTTGTCTCTAGTGGCTGTAGTGTATCCATTGATCTTTTGCTCTTTGTCCAATGTGTGATAATTTAGTTGAGTTCAGGGTGAACGCTCTCCTAGGCTGTTGAATCTGACTGCAGCCCGGTTCCGTGCGGGAGAGCAGTGTCCAATATCAAAATGTGGGCCCTGCTGCCATTTGCTTAGATTTTAGAAGATGAGAAGTACAGACTACATTTTTGTGGTTTGAAGCCTGCCTAACCACTTGAGGTCATGACACCTGACCCTCCTTCAGAAGCAACTAGAAACTTGCACGTTTTCTGGGGTGAGAACTGGGCTGCTTCCAAAAGTCAGGCTTCACTTGGAGCTAAGGTGCCGGGGTATTTCTGATGGCAGCTTGTTGTGCTGTGTGAAGCCTGGTTTCCTGGCCTGCCGCGGGGGCGGGCTTCTGGAGAATTTAGGGAACACCACTGTTGCCTTGTCTCTTGGGTGCTGCATCTCTGTTCAGAGGGGCAGCTGGGCCAGCACCTGTCTGGGATGTGTTCAAAGGCTTGGAGACAAGTACCAGTAGGCCGGGCACTTTCTCTGTAGCCAAAGTTCTCTGTCTATAACTGTCTTCCATGAGTGTGGTGTGAAAAATAACCCTTTAAATCCCCTGGCTCTATTTATTACCCTCTCCAGCAGAGAGCCTGACAGTTGCTCTGTGAGATAAGTGGGGCCGGTTTTATCTCACCTTACAGCCTATAAGTAGCAGAACTGGGCTTGAACCCTTGACATCTTCTCTCACGTATGCTGGAGCTGTGAGGCTTCATGTGGGTTCACAATGGCCCCCCTCCTCCTGCGGTCTGCTTGGGATCAGCCTGTGGGTGGGAATTCCTGCTTGAGTATATGGAGCTGCCCAGCAGTGCCACGGCCTTTGTCTACCTCACTTTGACTTCGGGCAGTGTCTGGGCCCATTCCTTAATACAAAGCACTGTAACTTGTTGAGTCACTCTGCTGCCAGCTCTTTACATGCAGTAAATGCAGCTCACCTCATATGTACTTTGCTCATAGTATTCTTTGAGGTGGGTGTCATTATCTCACTTATTTTATGGGAAGTGGACATTGAAGCTCAGATGAATGACTTATCTGAGGTTGCTCAGCCAGTATATGTCAAGGTTTTCATTGGAGCCCCCAAGTCTTACTCTGTGTCGGCGAACACTCTATGGTGCCACCTCCTGTGGAAGCCTCCTTTCTCCCCTATACGGAAAACACCATGAGACAGACGCTGGGGACTGGCCCGGTAGGGGGCTAGGGTATGTTGACATTATTTTCATTTGGTTTCAGGTCAAGAACTTCAGTGATGTTGATCCTGACTACGGGGCCCGCATCCAGGCTCTTTTGGACAAATACAATGCTGAGAAACCTAAGGTGAGCACCAGGCAGCCGTGCCAATGACAGACAAGGTGTGTCCTGGGTTAGATGAGGCAGAATTTGCTTTCCTTTCATGATGATTCTCCTCAGGGACAACTATTAGAGTTCTGAAGCAGCTGTTCAGAAACTCACTTGAGATATAAAGAACTCACCTGCAAAACACATGCTCTTCGTTTTAGCTCTGGACAATATAAGCTAGTTTAAAGTGGACGAATTCTGAATTGTTATTGTTTTCATTTGAGCCCAAATTAAAGCTAAGAGAAATACCAAGTTGCTGCTGCAGAGTGAATTAATTAACCTGTTGGTCTTGTTCTCGTAAAATAGAACTCGATTCACACCTTCGTGCAGCCTGGGGCTCACTTGTCTGCGAAGGAGAAAGCTAATCTGTGAGGGTCCGGGGCTATGGTCCTGTGCCAAGTCACTCTCCGCCTTTGAAGCAGCGCATGGAAATCACACACGCAACCCGCTCGTCGCTGGATGGAAGATTCTCCTGTGCCAGATGCCAAATGCAAGCTTCTGTCTTTAAATGATAATCCAGGTTTCTACAGCAAATAATGTAATAATGGCCTTTAATGCTATTTCCCTAGGGGAAAATGAGGGTTAGGGCTTAACAATCATTTAAAAGAAACATGTATTTGCTTTTGACAGTTGATTGAATTATTCACTTAAAATGACTGGAATGAAAGTTTCCAGCAGAAATATGATTTTATTTGATAAGAAAAAATCTTGGTGGAATTTGTATGTTTACATATCATCTCATGGCCTATTATATATAAATATGGCTGTAATTATATAAGAAGAAAAGATAAAGATAATCCATTCATAAATTTTAAGTTTCTTTTATGGCTGTAATTATAATAAAAAGAAAACATAAAGATAACCCACTCAGAAATTTTAAATTTTCTAAGTTCCTTACAGGAAAAACAGATTTCAAGCATTGGTGTCTTTTGAAAATAACTTCAGTATCATCATGTCTTAATGATTATTCCAGTTTGGAACTGATCAGATTTTTTTAAACTTGGAATTACATTTATGCTAATACAGCATTGATTTTGCAACAGACTGATTTGTAATTGCTTACATTTTTACAATAAAATAATCTGTACATAAGAATAGAAGAACGGTGTTGGATTTCTTTCAGCTCCGTATATAACTTGGAATTTCCCACCAGACTCTTAATCTGAATATCACCTGTTATCAGATGCTTGCCCTTAAAATTGAAAATACCAGTATCATGAGGATACTATTTTATGGGTTTAAACCAATAGCCTTTTAGACACAGCCTTCTGAGATGCTGGGCACCAGAACTTTAATTCTATTGGGAAGGTAGCAAACTTCCCAAATTTGAAAGTACTTAGATCTCCTGTTCATTAGCTCTCCTCCTTATCTGATTATGAGATTTTAAAATAAGTCCTCAGAGCCTCAAGTTCTGTTCTTTTTTTGTAACCCATATTTGCCTGTCATTCTTGAAAATCACGTCGAACACTTTTATGGTGAATTCTGACTACTAAATGAAAACCTATTTTCCTTGAAAATCCTTATTCCCTTCATCTCAGATCTTCAAAACCAGTTTATACTTAACTCTCAGGAATTCCCTGAGATCTTGGGCTTCCGGAAACCATATGGGACCACTAGTAGATACAAACTCTCAATCTTTTAGCTCAAACCTCTTTACTCTCCTGCCTAAATGCCTCCTATATTTGAGTGTGCTTGGAACCTATTATATTTGTAGACATAGAAAATAAATTTATCTATTTGTACCCAATGATGAATGCTTTCAGTGTAATAACTTTACTATAGTTATATCTCTTTATGTATTCAATATGTAAGATAAACATACAAATTAACATGACAATGGGAAGGAGGTTATTTTTTTGAATATTGGCTATAAACAGTTTTTGAGATAATTTTCTGCTTTGTTCTATTCTGTAGTCTAAAAATAAGTTGATAGTTAACATCACATGTATCTAACATGTTTCCTGTATGTAAAAATCTGACACACTGTGTCCCCAATTTTGCTCTGAGGCCTCTCATTGTAATTGTCAAAGATAAATACTGATGAGGTCAACTTCCCCCAGCTGGGTTTTACTTCCTGGAAGTACTATCTAATTATGTTCCTTCAAGGTGACATTAAGATATATCCTAAGAGTTCCTGAGTCAAATTTGTAAGGAGGATAAAGTTAGTGGGAAGAGGTATGTTATAGTGGCTTTAGAACAGACACACCTAGATTCAAATCCGAGCTCTGCCATTTCCTATCTGTGGATGTTTGACCCAGCTGCCTCACCCCTCTGCGAGTTAGTTCCCTCCTCTCTGAAAGGGACCAGTAGTTGTTCTTATTTCCCCAGGGTTGTGTGATGATTATCTGGTATATTTGACTTTGGCCACCACGTCTTTCCAGCTCAGTCCCCCTAGGGCCCTCTCTCGGTCAGCTTTTGCTTTGTAACAAACCACCTCAAAACCCAGTGGCCTAAACCGTGATCAGGTATCACTCATGTGTCCCAGTTGGCTAGGGATTGGCTGCTCTAGGCTGGGCTCAGCTGGGGTGGTTGGCGGGTTCTGTGTCACATGTCTCTCATCCTTCTGGGACCCGTGGTGATGGTTAGCTCGTAGTGAGGGCAGAAGTGCAAGAATGCAAGAAAAGGAAACCTGCTGTTTTCCTTACTCAGGAAATTGGAATTGCAAGAGTGCCATCCCAATTGCACAGGTGCGTTTCAAGCCTTTGTTCATCATGCCAACCAACATTTCATTGGCCAAAGCAAGTCACATGGCTAATCCCCAAGTCCAAGGGGGAGGAGGTGTCCCCCACCCTGGAGGTGATGGTGTGTGCCCGACTGTATCAGAACAGTAATCTAATGTACCACAGATGTCTCCTCCCATCAGTTCAACATGACTGGGCCCTGCAATCCATCGCCCCACCTGTTCACTGGGCGTCACCCTCTCATGTCCTCACTTCCCTTCTGCTCTGTTTGGATTTGCTGTCGTTCAGAATGATGATCACTCCAGAGCCCAGCCTTGGTAAAGGACGCCTCTCACTCACGCAGGTCCTGCACTGGAAATGGCCGTGGCTGGAGCAAAACACAGCCCTGCTGGCTGGGCTTTAAAAACTTTGACCCCCGAACCTCAAGTGGGCCCTCAGCACCACCTGGAAATCTGTCTTTCCTTCCTCAGTGAGCTCGCCCTCTCGTCTCTCCCTCTCCCTGTCGTCTCTCCCTCTCCCTGTCGTCTCTCCCTCTCCGTCTCCCACTCGTCTCCCTCTCCGTCTCCTCTCTCCCTCACCCTCTCTTCTCTCCCTCTCCCTCTCGTCTCTCCCTCTCCCACTCGTCTCTCCCTGTTGTCTCTCCCTCTCCCACTCATAACTCCCTCTCCCTCTTGCCTCTCCCTCACCCTCTCGTCTCTCCCTCTCCCTGTCGTCTCTCCCTGTTGTCTCTCCCTCTCGTCTCTCCCTCTCACTGTCGTCTCTCCCTCTCCCACTCGTCTCTCCCTCTCCCTCTCCCACTCGTCTCTCCCTCTTGTCTCTCCCTCTCCCACTGGTAACTCCCTCGCTCTCTCATCTCTCCCTCGCCATCTCGTCCCTCCCTCTCCCTCTCCCTTTCCCACTTGTCTCTCCCTCTCCCTCTCAGTTCCTTAGTTCACCAAGGACAGGATAATGTCCTTATGTTTTCCTCCAGCCAAATCCTTCAACTTGGCAGCATCGACATCCATGCACTCGTCTTTCCTTCCTGTTGAGAGGTGAGCTCTGCTCACACTGAAGGCCGGTCCCCCATGTGTGCGCTGACCCCATGCCCTCCTGCCTCCCCTGGGGTTACACCCGACCTCTCCTGCATTGTTAGGTCTTCCCTTTCTTCTGCATCCTTCCTCTTTGCATGTAAACCTGCTATTATAAGTCTCTCCAAATCCTTTCTTTATCCCATAGGCTCTCCTGTTAGCACCCCTTTATTGAAAATGATTTTAAAGAGTTGCCTTTACTTGCTCTCTCTGTTATCTTCTGTCCTCTCTGGAACCTCCAATCAGGCTGCCCTTGCCAAGGTCAACAGTGACTGCATGCCACTGAAGTCCAGTGGGCCCATCCAGCACTCCCACCTCTGGGAATATACTGAGCAGAAGAGAAAGCAGGGACTTCCAGAGATATGTGTACACTCCAAGTTCATCGCAGTCTTCATAACGGCAGAAAGGTAGAAACGACCTGAGAGTCTATTGACAGATGGGTTGATAAACAAAACGTGGTCTATCCAGACGATGGACTATTATTCAGCCTTAAAAAGGAAGGAACTTTGGACACATGCTACAATGTGGAAGAAGAACCTTGAAGACATTATGCTAAGTGAAGTCAGTCAGACACAGAAGGACAAATATGGTATGATTCCACTTATGTGAGGTGTCTAGAGTAGGCAAATTTATAGAGACAAAGCAGAATAGTGGTTGCCAGGGGCTGGGGGGAGGGAAAAATGAGGAATTATTATTTAATGGTTATAGGAGTTTCAGTTTGGGAAGATGAAAAAGTTCTGGAGATGGATAGTGGTAATGGTTGCACAACAGTGTGAATGTATTTAATGCCACTGAACTTTGCACTTAAAAATGGTTAAAATAGTAAATTCTCTTACATATATTTTACCACAATAACAAACAACACCCCAAAGGTCTAGTCTCATTCCTCATCTTACATGGCCTCTCAGCAATTTTTAACACAGTTGATCATTGGCACTTTCTTAAAAAAAAAAAAAAAAAGCCTTTTTGAGATATAACTCACATACCATAAAGTTCACCCATTTAAAGTACAATTCAATGGTTTTTAGTATATGCACAGAATTGTGCAGCTATCACCACAGTCAATTTTAGAACATTTCTGTCACCCCTTCAAAAGGCCCTGTACCCGTGAGCAGTCACTCACCATTCCCTCAACTTAAGCCTGTGCCAACCCTTGGCCGTCACGAATCTGCTTTGTCTGTGGATTTGCCTGCTCTGCACATTTCGTTTAGGTGGACTCGCGCCGTGTGGTCCTCTGTGACTGGCTTCTTTCACCTAGTATAGTGTTATCAAGGTGCTCACGTGTCGCAGCCTGTGTCACTACATCGTTTCATTTTATTGCCAAGTAATATTACGTTGTGTGTGTTTGTTTATCCATCCTTTGGTTGATGGACATTTGGGTGGGTTCCTCTTTTTGGCTATTACAAATAAGGCTGCTATAAACACTAGTGTACATGTCTTTTGTGGACACATGTTCATTTCTCACCTTCTCACCTTCCTAAAAGGCATTTTCCCTTACCTTCTGGCACACCTCTCTAGAAATCGACTCCCGGTGTTTTCAAGTCTGTTAGTTGTTCTTCTGGAATGAGGACTTGGGCTGGGCTTGCAGAGGCACCGTGAGGGATCACCTTGCGTGTTCCAAAGTCAATGTCAGAATTTTGGTTTAAAAACACGTTAATTTTTTTCGTTCTGATAAATGGTCATCGCTCTACTTTGTAATCTCTGCTGAGGAAATGAGTTTTAAGAACTTCCTAGCACTCCTCTGAGAGAAAAACAGCAGGCAAGCTGCTTGGGCCATCTCTGCGTCTTAGTTCAGGGTATCCCCAAAAGGCAAAGGGCCGAATTCCACGTTAAATGATCTGATAAGCCAAATTGAAGGCTTTCAAGTCTTATCAGAGCTTTTAAAGATGTGAAGGGTTAGTAGAGGTGAACTCGGAAAGTTCTGCATAGTTTTGAACTTTTGAGTTTTAACAATCACATATTAATAGACTGAAAGTTTTCTATGGAAAGCTCTATTGTGATCCTTTTTACGAAGCAAATATTCCCTTATTTGACTGTATGACAAGCGAATTTGACACTTTTTATTTTTTGTTGTTTCGTTTTGGTATTGTTGGCTTAAAGGGTGGTATTTTAAACAGTCCTTGTATTTTCTGTTCTTCAGTGAATTGTATCATGAAGCTATATATTGAAGTACAACTCACATTGCAAAGAGTATGGTGGTTTGAGTGACAGCCCCCACTAAGATATGTCCACGTCCTAACCTCCGGAACCTGTGAAGGTGACCTTATTTGGAAAAAAGGTCTTTGCAGGTGCCATTAAGTTAAGGCTCTCGAGATGAGATCCTCCTGGATTATCCAGATGGGCCTTAAATCTAAGAGACAAATGGGAGGAGGAGGAGCAGGCCGTATGAAGATGGAGGCAGAGACTGAAATTTTATGGCCACAAGCTAAGGAAGGCCTGGAGCCACCAGAAGCTGGAGGAGGCGAGGAAGCGTTCTTCCCTAGAGCCTGCGGAGGGAGCATGGCTCTGCCAATACTTTGATTTCAGACTTCCAGCCTCCAGAACTGTGAGAATAAATTTCTGCTGTTTTCAGCCATCAAATTTGGTGATTTGTCTTGGGCAGCCCTAGGAAACTAATACAAAGAGGATGCTAGTTTAATGGTTTTATAAAATGAAAATTTCTTGAGTAGCAGAAGGATTAATTTTCTTTTCTTTGACTTACTTGCTTGATGCCCCTTGGGGGGTGGGCGCAGCATCTCTTGGGGGAGTGGGTAGTGTGTTGCCCCTGAGTCCTGTCCGCCGCTGCCTGCTCTGCCCCCACCCCAGTCCCCGCCCTCCCCCTGAGCTCTTGGTGTTGCGTCCCCTTTGCTGCCAAGCTCTTTGCCGGAAAGCTCCCGGTTCCCCTTCTGCTAGCTCATTTCCCACCTCCTGGACAATCTCTTCTCTCAGCCCCACGATGGGCTTTGATCCAGTCCGTCAACATGGCTCTTACCTCTTCAGATGGCCTGGTCAGGCATCCCAAACTCAAAATATGCAAGCATTCCGGATGTATGAGAACAACAGTGTGAGAACAGAGCGGATTGGCCGCTGACAACCTCCATGTCCGTGGTGACCAAATGCTCTGTCCAAAGAGGCCGCCTCTACTGACCTCCAGGAAATTATTGCCACGAGGCACTGAGAAACTAGTGTTGCCAGATCTGATTTCTTAAAAGAAGCTGGAAATCTGGATTTTTCTATAAATCTCTTGATTTTTAAATAAGGCAACTAATTCAGAGTAAGAAACAAAACAAAATCTCAAAACAATAAGCAAAATAAACGATTTTGTGTGTGTGCACCAAACAGAAACGTTATCTGTAGCCCCCCCGGCCCATGTGCTCTGTTCTGAGAGGGCACCACTGTCTTATGATGTAAAGGTGGTAGGTAGGATCACTCCATATATTTCTTGCATCTTTTGGGGCTCTCTAAAACTCTCCATCTCCTAAATGCTAGGAAATGGAAGGTCATCAAAGGATTTACAAGTTGTCAATACTTTGCTGAATTTAACCATACAGAGACAGTTTAACAAGTTAAATATTTTATTCACAAAGTTTACAAACTATATCCACCTGGAAAAAACATGAATCCAAAAATAGATTATTTTACAGTAATTCACATTTTTTAAAACAAGTTACTTTTGAAGTTAAACTCTAAGCACGGAGGTCCTCAGCCTGTCTGGTGGTTCAGTGCCTTGTCACACGAAGCTTCCTGCTCTGGTGAAGTGGAAGTCCTAGGGGCAGTCCGCCGAGGTAGGTCACTCATGGCTGACCTACCAGTGACCGACAAGAGAACGTCAGCGCAGACTTGAACCCAGGAGCTCTCGGGTGTCACTCACTGCCACTATGTTTGTCAAGGAAATAGTGTTTTAGAGCTTGAGTACACAGCAGGCAGGAAGACAAAACAAAAGAGACTCATCGTTTAATTGGCCGTTACAGAGTGGTCGGACATTTCCAGTTCTACGGAGGTTTAACGTCTTGGCCACAGGCAGAATCAACGAATGACGATTTTATCCTGTCAACAGCTTGAATCATAGAAACAGCGGTGATTTGGAAAGCGAGTGTCTGTTGACTAACTCTTTGCATATCTGATGCCCCCCACCAGCAGGAGAAGAGGGGGATGAACGCAGTAAGAATTAGGAACATGCCTAATTTCAGGCGTGTCACTCTAGAAGGATGGCCGTGGGACCTTTGCTGAGTGGCCAAAAAGACGTTCTGGTGAAGGAACTTACTATTAACCTATGCTAAATCCAATTATGTCCCAGCTTGACGGCTTAGCTCTTTTAGTAATTAAGAAACTTTTTTACGGAATTTGACTTTAACAATTTAAAATCTACAGTATGTTTGTCTTACCCACATCTTACCCCCTCCTACTATATTAACTACAAACTATCACTTATTTTTTCTTTGTGAGCTGCCACAGTTAAATATGTGAAAACTTTTGAGCCTTTGAGATGAGAGCAGTGGATGTGTCTCTAACGGCAGAACTGGATCCTTTTTCTCTGAGCAGCACCAATGGCAGTGGCTACTGTGGTTCTGCAACTCTTGATTATGGAAGCAATGTTTGATCAAGGTGCCCCAAAAGGGCATCCCCTCCTCCCTCGGGAAGGAAAAAAAAGAATTTCTGAAGGGTTCCTGCCATCACCCTCAAGTAGACAACAACAACTCGGAATCTAAATGTAAGCTGAGATGTGGAGAAATTTTATCAGCACATTTGCAGGTTTAAAAAAAAAACAAAACAAAGACTTTCAAATGTCTATTGCAATCTGATTGTTTTAAATGACAGAAATCCACAGAGCGAGCTTGATGATGCAGCAGATCATAGCTTGTCTTCCTGCCACCCGTGTGCATTCTTTCCAAATTTGTACACTAACCTTCGGTCGACCCGTTCCAAAATTCCTGTTTTGTAGTAGTACCTGTGGAGGAGAGCAGAGGACAAAGGTGGGGAGGGTTTACACCCCAGGAGAACAGCAGATATAAACACTCTCCTCATTCCTCTCAGGTGACAAGGCTGGTCTCTGGTTACCCTGGTATTTTCACACCCTGATATAGACTTACACTTAAACCTTTCCCAGACATCTTGAAGACTCAACCTCCCCACATTCAGTTCAAAGTGTGGTTTGCCTGTGTATGTGTGAGCTGGCCTGGACTCAGAGTGATCGCAGGGAACACTGCCAAGAATGAAAATGACGGTGTGTCAGTTTACAAACCATAATCCCCTCTGTAACTAAGAACCAACGTGTTGTCTCATGACCTTTCGATTATTAACTAAAAAGCTGCATAAACAGTTTAATTTCCTATGGCTGGCCATTTTATGTAACTCTGCCTGGAGGCTCCTGGCATTTCATGCTATTAACTTACCTCAGGGCTCTGCTCAACTTTTCATATGTCATTCTGTCATTTTTCTTCCTTTGTCCCCACATCTTTGCCAGGGCTTCTGATTTAACGACCCGAAAGATACCTTGTTCCCTATCTTCCCATTCCAGAATGCCACAGTTTTCTTCAGGAGATAGAAGCAGGTCTCGCACAAATTCCCATAGATGAGAACTTTGGAGGCCTTTTGAGAAGGAAAAAAAGTTATTTACTTGTTTGTGTTAAGTTTTAAGAGAAGAGTTGTACAACTTCTGTTAACCCACGAGCATTCCTGCTTTACGGGTTTATTTCCCATAGTTATGACCGGGCGCTCCACTTGGAACCTACCGAGCTGTGAAATGTCTGTCTTCTAGTAAAGCAACTACAAACCCACATACAGAAACACCAAATTTACATCGACTAGCAACACCGGGGCTCAGGGACCTCCCTCCCACCATGGAGCTATGGGCTAATTCTCCTGGAATTAATGAAATGACAGTCAAATGATCTTTTCCTTCTTCTTTCTGACAGGCGTATGGTTGTACTACGAGCCCACAGCCACAACTGTCTGGGTGGAGCGATCCTACAGTTGTTTTTCATGAAAAGCTGGCATTTCTCTGATTCCATTATATTGTGTGAAGACTGGTTCTGGCATCCGACAGCCTGGGTCGGCGTCCTGAATTCCCTCTTCCTAGCTCTGTAACCGTAATCTCCCAAGTTATCTGTAAAATGGGGTAATCAGAGTACCCACCTCACAGCGGAGGTTAGAGGATTCTGAGCTAATATGTATCACGTGGTTAGAACCTTCCTAGCAGGCCTGATTCTGCCCTGCGTAGATCTGTCCTGGCGCCGGGAAAGGCTAACAGAATTGCCAGCTTGTGGCGGTGTCTCCACCACCGTCCCCGAGAACTTCAGTGAGCGGGACCCCCAGTGGACCAGGAGAAATAAACCCTTATTCAGAAAGTCAACATGGTTAGAAAACATCTTCACTTCCTCACTTTAATTCTTATAAGGCTGTTTCCAAGTAAAAAGAAAGAAATCGGATTTTGACCACATTTGTACAAGTAACTATCAATTTCTCCACTACATTCTTTGGGGAATAACTGGTCCCACTCGAACATTCATTTTCAAAGCTTATGAAAGTGGATCACTTTGTCTCATGAAGGCTGTTAAGAAATCAGGAGTGAAGCCCGGCGCCTCCACACTTACTTGCTCGACTGTGACTGTGACAGTCTTGACTTCTGATGCCCCTTGTTTTCAAGCAGCTGGAATCCGCGTCTGAAACAGAATGATTTGTAGCAGTAGAAAGGAGTCTGAGGGCCACATTCTGACCTCAAATCACTCCAAAATGAGCAAATATTGATTGAACGCCTTGTGGTGGACGTCACCGTGCTGGCCGCTTTGGGGGTAACTGTAGGTGGGAGGCGCAAAGGTGCCAAAAGCTAGGTATTTGCCTTTAAGGAGAGTTTGTATTCAACAAACGGTGTGCCTACTGTTTGCCAGGCCCATGCTGGAGATACAAGAGCGAACAAGACAGACTTGGTCCCTGCTCATGTGGGATTTAAGGACTGATGGGCAAGGTAAAACGCAAGTGAAACAAATAGCCCAGGGTTGTGTTATGAAGGAAGCGAGACGCTAGACAGAATGAAGGTGGAGGAAAGTACCTACGGTAGATGGGGTGGCCAGGGAGGGCCTCATGAAGAGGAGACATTTATGCTGCGAGATCAAGATGAGGAGGAGCTGCGTGAGGAGGTGGGATTGAGTGTTCCAGAGGGAAGGAGCAGCACGTGCAAAGCCAAGCATGGCGGGAGCACCGGAGAGGCAGGCAGGCGCGCCCACGGTGTGCCCAGGGGAGGGCAGGGGATGCTACGCTGGGGAAGCGGCCGCGGCAGGTGCGTAGGGCCTTCCTTGCAGGCCCCAGTAAGGACGCAGGATTTTATTCCAAGGGTAAAGCGACGACTCCGGAGTTTGACAAGATCCATGTTTTAAGAAGATCCCCCTGCTAGTGCGTGGAGAGTGGACTGGGAGGGACACAGGGAAAAGCCGAGACCAGAGCTCACAAGCAGTGAGAAGCAAGGCGTGAGCTCCATCCCAAGCTCAGTCAGAGCGCATGCCGTAAGCAGCCGCGGGAGACGCCTGCACAGGCATGGGCCCAGGGCAGCGTGTGGTTGAAGGAGGCGGTACAGGCCGGGCCTCCCGCCGCCCCCGCTCCCTCTGCTCCAGCCACATTGCCTCCTGGCTCCTCTGACACTCGCAGCACGTCCCCCGTGGGGGCTGCACTTGCTCCCCTCTGCCCCCGGGCTCTGTCCTTGCGGATCTGAGGCTCATCTGTCTTTGCTTGGTCACCTTCCCAGTGAGGCCTTCCCTGACTACCTGAGTTGGAATCGCACACACTCGCCCCTCCCCAGCCTTCCACATCCACTTCCCTCCTTTTAGTTTTTGGAGTACCATTCATCGCCATTGAACGTACCCCATCATGTATTTATGTAGTTCGCGGTCTGTCTGTCCCACCAGAGGACAGGGATGTGTGCCCCCAGCACCTGGCACGGTGCCTGACACAGGGGGTACTCGGTGAGTGCAGTGAGCAGCCAGTGGACTGTATACTGTACTGTACTGGCCAGACCCACTGTGTGTCTGATTCTACATATCACTACTAAATGGAAGAATAAGCATGTGTCAAGGGAAGGAATGGTGTCCTGTGGACACGCTGCTACCCTGGCTTAACATCCTGCAGTGGTTCCCTGTCATCTCCAGGATGCGGGCTGCCATGTTAGTCAGGCCTTTCACAAACTGACTCCCACCCAGCTCTCCAGCCTTATCTTTTACTGCTCCCTAATTCTTTTCTTCTCTTGGGTCAGACAGTCCCAATGGGGCTTGGCTTTCTCCTGCCTCAGGGCCTTTGCACAGGCTCCCCACTTCTACCCAGCCAACTCTCCTTCTCACATGACCTCTTCAAGAAAGCTTCTCTGAAGTTACTGTCTGGGTTAGATCTCTTCTCTGTCCCATAGCACCTTTGTGCTCCTTGGTCCTCGATCTTGTCTCTCTCTCTTTTTTTTTGCTGAGGAAGATTCGCCCTGAGCTAACATCTGTGCCAGTCTTCCTCTATTTTGTATGTGGGTCGCCACCACAACATGGCCACTGACGAGTGGTGTAGGTCTGCGCCCAGGAGCCGAACCTGGGCTGCCGAAGCAGAGTGTGCCTAACTTAATGACTAGGCCATGAGGTTGGCCCAATCTTGTCTCTTTTTTCATCAGCTGATGTTTATGGAGCACTTACTAAATGCCAGCTGCTCATCAAGGGCTTCACACACAGTATTGCATTTAATGCCTGCAAGCGCCCTGTGTGGTCTTATTGCTGTTTCCATTTTATTGAGGAGGAAGTTGAGGTCCAGAGAGTTTAAGAAGTTGATCCAGAGTGGCAGAGCCAGGACTTGAACCCAGCGCAGTTCCGTTCCAAAGCTAACGTTCACAATGACTACTTCATCACGCCTCTCGCGGGAGGTGCTCAACAGACACTTCGTGAACAATGAGTAGCTACGTTTGTTGAGCAGTTGCTCTTGCCAGGTGCTCGCTCAGTCTCACCCGTGTCTATGCTGTCCCCACCTTACATACAAGAAAACGGAGGCGTGGAGAGGTTGGGTGGCCCACGGCGGGTCGTTCACTCACTCATCTGCGAGTATTGAGCTGCAGTATGCCCACTGTACCAGGCACAGGGGTACAGCATGAAACAAGGCCAGTGTCCCCTCCCAGGGGACTCACATCCAGGTGGGGAGGAACATCCAATGAACAAGCAAGTGTGGCCCATTTAAGTGGGTGATAACCGTGATGGAGAGTAACCACACAGGATGGGGGGAGAAAGCCATGGTGAAGGGGTGGGCAAAGCTGCAGTTTGAATTAGAGCCAATGGAGAAGGCTCTCTGACAAGGAGCTACTGTGAGCAGGAAAGCAGCGAGCCCTGGGCATGCCCAGCATGCACCCAGGTCAGGTGTCTGGCCAACTGTGGAGCTGAAATCCGCATCTAAACATTCTGAAGTCCGAGTCCTCAGCTCCAATGACCATAGGGCCTCGCTCATGGGGGTGAGCACTGAAGTGAAGGCACGCCTTCCCCTTCCAGGGTCCCCCGGGCCTCCTCTCCACTCTTTCATAGGTCACAGTCTGGAACTGCACTGATGTGAAGACCAGCCTGTGCACACAGGCAGGTATGTGCAAACCACAGATGAACGCCAGGTGAAATCTGCTGAACATGTTGCTGCTGCCAGGTGGAGGGATGAGAGCAAGGGAGGAGCTGACAGCTGGCCCGTCACGGCCAAGAAAGAGCTCTGCCCTCTGTCTGATCAAATGCCATGCTGCACAGCGTCACCTGCAGAGCAGGCCGATCCATTGTTTTAGTCTTGTAGGAAGAGAGAAGACGGACGGAGTGGTAAAGATGAACAACGGTGAATTATTAAGCGATGAATAGACAATAAGCTTTCACTGAAATGCCAAAATGGCGAGAAGAAGGAGAAAAAAGTCGCCCTTTTAATTGTTATGATTTCTTCCATATGCTTCAGGTGAAGGATATTTGGCTGGAGAGGATGAACACAGGACAGGTCGGCGTGAGGCGGGGTTATGGGGACAGTGGGAAGTTCTCCCTGTGGGTCTTGCCAGAGATAATCCTGTTCTATCTGTTCTTGTTCTTGGTGGTGGCTTTGCAGGCACTCACGGGTCAACTAGATTAGAGGCCTAGCCTGGCTGGTGGTAAGTCTCCCTGTCTCACAGCTATCCCCGTTTTGAATGTGTCCCTGAGCTGGGCTGTGCCTGGTGTGGGCCGGTGGGGGCGTGGCCCCGGCTCTCTGCTGTCTGTGGGATTTGGAAAGGTTGCCTTGAAACTGGAGACTGTTAAAATGCAGCCAAAGGATATACTCTCAGTGGTTGATTGAAATCATGGTCAATTGTCCTCCAGAAGCTGAGATGGGGGCTGGAGTGGCAGAGTTTCCCAAACAAGCTCCTCACGTCTCCATGACACCAGTGGTGCTGTGGAGCCTGCACCCCATGTGAGGAGGGCTCAGAGAAGCTCTGGGGCTCCGGAGTGGGAGGGCCCAGCAGCGAGCCCAGGCCTGCAGCGGCGCTGCGCACTGGCAGTTCTGCGGTGCAGGTGGGAGTGGCAGGGAGAGAAGAGACAGGTGCAGAGGCGCTGGGGTGTGTCACCTGGGCCAGTTCTGATGGTTTCACAGCTTAGTGGGCCTGGGCCCTTCGGCAGGCGCTAAGTTGAAAATCATCCTGTTCTCTGAATGATTGTGGAGCTGGGCCCAGACCCGGGGGAGTCCTGGGCCCGGGGTCTCAACTGAGCGGGCAGCAGAGTGGAAGGAAAGGTCTGGGCGTGTGTGTGCATTTGTGTGTACAAGTGTAGCGCGTGTGGTGAACGGCACCGTGTATGAGAGCACAGACTTGGAGAAAACAAGTTGGGACTCCAGCTCTGCGTCTCCTGCAAGTTCTCGCTCCTGCAGTTTCCTCAGAGGCAAACAAGGGTAACGGTGCCAGCCGGTGGAGCCATGGTGAGGGTTGCACCGGTTACTGCTGTAGACACTCGGACAGCACGGTGCCGGGCATGCAGTAAGGGTTTCACACGTGGGAGTGATAGCCGTTAATCCTCACTGGAGATCCACGGGAACATCGCTTCAAGACCCAGGATGCCACTTCGTCCCAGTGGGCCAGGCCTGGGCCTCTGGGTGGCGCCTCTCATTTCTGGGTCTGGGGGCATCTGAGACGGTGAAACATCTCCTGAGCCATGGGCACCACGACCATAGTCCTGGAGTTTCTGAAACAGGCCTCTGCATGAATCTGCCAGTCTCTCGTCCTCACAGCTATGCTTGCACCCATCGAACTGTGCACTAGGGCTTCTGTTTTGGGAAAGGGTGGTCACCAGGGCTGTGGGAGAGCCAGAGACGGGCCTCAGGGGCCCAGTGGGAAGGCTGTGGTGTCCTGGCCGTGCCAGTGGAGGCTGGCAGTTTGGCAGAGCCTGTGGCACTGGTTTTCAGGAGCACTCACCCAACTCCTTAACCCTGAGTTCGGTCTAGAAATTGTGCCTCTCCCAGTCAGGCCAGGCTGGGCTGGGCCCTGCCGGGCAGAGCCTGGGGCAGCTGCCATCAATGGAGGGTTTGTCTCATGAGCACGTGCTCCAGAGATGCCAGCCCGGAGCCCCGTCTCACCACCTCTGCCTCGTCTCCTCCCATCACCTGGACAGAGCCACCATCATCCCTCTCCTGGACTAGGCTCCTAGCTGGGATCCCTTCTGAGGGAGACACAGCAGTCTGGGGATTTTCTTAAAATGCAGTGGGATCTTATCATTTCCAAGCCTCAGTGGCTTCCCAGCCTGCTCGGAATGAAACCTAAACTCCACTGCCGGTAAAGCTGTACGTGACCTGCCCCCGCCCTGCTCTAGGGCTTGGGTCTCACCCCTCTCTCTGCTGATATTGGTGCTCTACCAATGCGCTGTCCAAGAGAACTTCCGTGATGATGGAAATCGGAGCAGCCCGATATGGTAGCTACCAGCTCCCTGTGGTTACTGAGCACTTGAAATGTGGTTAGTGTGACTGAGGAGCTGAATTTTAAGTCTATTTAATTTTAATTAAATTTAATAGCCACATGTGGCTAGTGGCTACTGTTATTGAACCACGTAGCACTAAACCTTCAAGCCTTTTGTTCCCGTCTCAGGGCCTTTGCACTTGCCATTCATTTTCTGTAATCTTTTCTTCCCTCTTTTCCTGGCTAAACTTCTGCTCATCCTTTGGGCCTAATTTAAATATCTCTTCCTCCAGGAAGTCTTGCCTGGTCCCTAATTTAATGCGATCTTTCCTCCATCACACACAAAGCTCCCTGCACTTTTCCTTTGTAATATCATCACTGATTAGCAGTTACATATTTATTACTGGGATTATTTGTTTAATGTCCCTCTCCTTCCCTTGCTCCATGAGGACAAGACCTAAGTTGTGCTTGTCACTGCAGCCACAGTTCTAGCTCTAGGCCTGGCACATAGTAGGCGTTCATTAAATGTTTGTTCAGTGAATGAAAAAGAAAAGAAAGAAACGGATGAGGGGATAAAGGGGTTAAGAGCTCCAGATTTAGACACACTTGGGTCATCTGTTACCTTCTAAGCTCGCCACCTATAACCCCTAAGCTTTAGTTCCTACCCCTTTAAAAAAGGCTATGGTACTAGGACTTGTCTTACGGGGTTATTGGAAAGATTACCTGAAACAATGTCTACAAAGATTCTCTCCTTGTTCATAGCAAGCACTCAGTGAATGCCAGCTGCCATTATGATGATGATGATGATGATGATAGCACTGACTCTAGTTGGGGCTGGTTATATATTCAGGTAACACCTCCTTCTAAAGAACTCACGGGACACGCTCTCTTCCTAGCCCATCATCTTCCTATGCCGGGAGGAAGGCAGGCTGGCAAAAGACGCCCATTTATAGTGGAGACACTGACTCTGAGGAAGGGTTGGTCAGATCAGACTCACTGCTGTTTGGAGAGTAGAGCAAGTGCCCGCCCTGGGCTCAAGCCTTTGGACACAGGCCCAGTAACGCCCCTGGGCCTCGGTGGGCTCAGTCCTTCCAGGGGCTTTGCCTGCACTGGGCTGGGTGGTGGAAGTTGGGGTTTGCATCCCTCCAGCTGCTGCGGATGGACAGGAAGGGATCCCACCAGAGCTGGGAACCCTGTGGGAGCTTTGGTCACAGGGGAGAGGAGATGTTCTGCCCTGTGGCCCGATGTGGGGGACCTCGAGGAAGGCAGAGCTGCTCTCCCAAGCGTGGCGGGGTCTGCGGGGCACACGCGCCTGCCTAAGCCCGCAGCACATGGTGTACGGACCTGGCTATTCCTGCGTGAAACTGAATAAAAACCTTCACCGACCAAGTAACCTGAATGCTCAGGTGGTTGTTTGGGACTTCCAGGAAAGAAAAAATAAATCGTGAGAACCCGTCCCTCTGTGTTTGTCCTCAGCCCGCACTCTCAGAGGCCTTCGGAGCCACGAAGAGCCCTGGCCTCTCTTTGCAGAGGAAAGAGCTGAGGTCCAGGGAGGAAGGGCCTGCCCAGGACCCACGTCTCCTCCTGGCCCCCAGGCCAGGGCCTTTGTGTGGGGCCCAGTAACTACTGGCAATCATCATCACCATCATCTTTAAAGAAGGAAAGCTCCAAGGTTCCCTTTCCTAGACCTTCTCCACCTGCAGAAGTGGAAGAGGAAGGGTTAATTCTCAGAATCAACGAGGCCGTCTGAGATCCTCCAGGACCTCATAACTCTGCACTAAACCTGCTTAGGGAGCTCAGATCCTTCATAGACACTATCAACCACAAGGCCTCCGCTGGTCAGTAACCACGATTATCATTGCTACTGGATACTGGTTTCTGGCTGCTGGCACATCCCAGGCACTTCATATGCATGGTTTCTCAAACTCACTACACCTGTTTTATAGGTAGGGAAACTGAGTCTGAGGGAGGATAAGGAATCCATGGACCCCAGCCCCGTGCTCTGTCCGCCACATTTCTCCTGCTGTCTTTTCCAGTTTGTGATTGTTCCAGGTCATGCACCCTTCAGTGTGGTCTTCAAAGAATGGTCACCCAACAGTGGCCTAGACGCAGCCTGGGGAAGCTTGAATTCGGTTACTTACAGTCTTTGATGGCAGTCTTGGTCTCTTCAGCGTCATTAAAAAAAGAGTAACCTGAAAAAGAAAGAGAAATCCACAAACCGTACCGTGCCATTCTGGATCCCCTGTCCAGGCTAGAGGGGCCGCTGGGAGAAGGGAGCGACTGTCCCCTCTGTGGGGAGTTTTATTTCAGAGGGAACCTGGGAGACCATCTGGCCCTTGTGGGACCACCCTGAAGCCACCCCTGGGAGGTGACAATCTCCTGGTTTCTAAAGGCCACCTAGAGAGAGCTCCAGGGCCAGGCATTCCAGCAGCCTCCAGAATTTTCCAGGTGGGCAGTGGGGAGTGAGTCCTGGCTCGGGGCCAGGAGGCCTGGGCTCTGAGCCCAGCCGTGCCACTGACTCGTGTGCGGCCTTGCCGAGTCACTCAGTCTTGGGGCTTGTGTTCCTCGTTGGCAACACGTGACTGAACTACCACTGGGCTCGCCTTCAGCTCTAAGAGTCTGTGATGTCTGACCTGGGCGCTGATCCCTCGGGCATCTGAACGCCTGTCATGGGCTGGGCCAAGGGGAAAAGGGGCACAGGGGCCCCAAGACATGCAGAACCCAAATGAGAGTATAATGAGGACTGGGCGACTGCGGGGGGCCTCGGCTGGCTCCTCTGAGGAGTGGGGTGGGCTGAGGAGAGTCAGGGCTTCAGACCGCGTTTGCCTGCAGCAGCACAGGCCGAAAGCCGCCTGTTTTCTAGCTTGGTGTCCAGTGTAAGCACTGGTTTCCACTCACTAAGGAGACTGGGACAGGGCACGTTCGTGACAGTTTATTCCCAGGGTCATTTTCTGAGTGGTTCTGGGCAGCCACAGCACCTCAGCTCAGTCTGCCCAAAGGGCCACCCGAGAACAGGATGGGGGACTGACGAGGGACCCATTCCTCTCCTCCACTGCAGAAGCTGCCTGCTGCCTCCCCCTTCCTGCTGACCTCGCCTTCTGGTGACCAGTGTCCCATGTTTCTGGGCCCTTACATCCTGCTGACATGGCCCCTGAGCCAGACAGCACATGGGGCCCAGGAGCCCCCGAACTCCTCGCCCTGCAGACTGGCCTGTTCTGTCTTCTCCTGCCTGAGCCCTAAGCTACGGAGTAATGGAAGGCCCAACTAGGTAATAACCAGGTCACCAGATAATTTGTTGTCCAAACGCAGACACCTTTGAGAATGGAAGACAGTGCTAATAGCAACTATGCCAGGATACCAATGGTGAAATTATTCCAGGTGAAAACAACGTGTCCTGGGCACACTGGGACACTGCAGACTTGGGTCACAACACGCGTATTTCAACACACAATACGTGTCCCCACGTGAGGAACGCTGGAGGAGGAACCTGAGGACGGGGCAGGGTGGAGGACTACACGGCTTCACCGCGCGTATGGTGGCTGCCTGGCCTGCAGACCGTCTCGAGTTCCTCCCCTGCAGGTGGCTTTGTGGCTTTGGGGATTCCTTAGCAGAAGCAGAGGTGGCTTATGGCCTGTTTAGAAAACAGCTGGCTTTTAGCTTCTTCGTTCTGCCCAGACCCTGAGGTAACGAGAGAGGGACAGGGACTTTTGATGTAACAAGTGCCAGGGAAGGGAGGTGCCTGTCAGGGGCTGCTGGGCCTGGAGACAAGCTTGACTGACTTGTTGCTTGGCTAAGGCTGGGAATGCCAAGCTGAGTCCTCTTCCAGGATGGAACACTGCCCTCCCCATGGCCCTGGGATGCTCGGGCAAGGCTGGTCCCTTGGGAGGTTCTGAAGGGAGCCCTGAGCTCCTCCCCAAGCCCCTGTGATTTGTCAGACTTGCTCCCTTTCAGGGAGGGCCCACTCTAAGCACAGGCCACTGTCACTGGCTATAATTAAGCAGAGACTGGACAACAATGGACAGCAGGTCTGTTTGTCCCTTCCTTGGCCCTGGTGGGCTGTGGCTCCCAGGGCGGAAGCCAAGCAGTGCCCCAGGGCCACCACCCTCAGCTTTCCTGCCCTTGGGCACTCATGATGGGGGAGAGCAAGGGGAGGGCAAAGAATCCTAGAGCTGGAAGCCCCTCTGTGGTTTTATGTCCAAATAGGAATGCCTGCCACAGCATCCCCATCAATCAGGGGGCTCTTACACTGCTTGATTACCTCCAGTGACAGGGAGCTTCCTACCTTAGGTATCTTCTGAAGCAGCCTTTCCAAAAGAAGGTGCTAACTTTTACAAAGGTCTTTCTTAAAATTGAGCTATGTTTCCTTTATTTTTAAAATTTCTGCCTCTGGGTTATATTCATGATGACAAAAATGCTGCCAACTGCTTTTGTGTCCTTATATGCTGTGCCAGGTAATATTTCACTGGATCCTTCAAGAAGCCCGTGGAAATGTGTATCATTATCCCATTGCACAGACGAGGCAATGGAGGTTCAGATAGGTTAAGCTATTGCCAGAAGTCCTATGGCTCCGAAGAGTTGGAGCCTACGTTGGAACGCAGGTATTTCTGACCTCAAAGCCTCTGCTTTGTACTGCCTTTCCATGAAACAACACCGTGTGCTGTGGGACCTCGGAGAAGTCACTTGACCACTCGGGACGTTAGTTCCTTTATTTGTGGCACGGGGATACAGAATTATATGTTCTCAAAAAACTTTTCTGGATTTAAAAAACCTGTCCATCAACATTCTGCTCTCGCAGGGCATGCTGAGCCTTAACTAATGCTGCTGGCGCCACCTTCTGGCCGCCTGATCCTTGACCACCCAGAACGTGATGAAACGAACTGCCACATCCTTGGATTCCTCTGGAAACGGGCAGGGAGAGGCTCTAGTTAATTTTCCTCTCCTTCTGCTTCATGAAAGGCCAAGCAGACCCCTCTTTCGTCCACCCTTCATGGTTGCAAATCTTTATGAACATAACACGTTATTCTGTTGTATCAGCCTGGTTCCTGAGCTGTCCCTGAATGTGTTTTGAGTTTTTCTTTTCTTTTGAAAAATGTACTCAACCTGCTTCCTTGCAACTTGCTCCCTTTTACCTACAATCTCCAATTCTAGCAAACTGGAGCTTCCAGGTGTTGCGAGGTTTGGGTTAACAGAGGATTCTGGTTAACAGAGGCCTCCAGGTGATGAAATGTTGCTGTGTGGGTCACATGGCGGAGAAGGACCCCTGAGGTCGCTTGGTCCTAGTCCCGGGCCACTGCCCTGGGGCCGGCCTCTGGACACTGACCTTGTGAGCGGATGTTCTGGAGGATGAAGTACAGGTACTCCCCACAGAGGCCGGCTGCCTCGACGAAATCCTCCTGCGTCATGCTGCACAGCTGCAGGCCGCCGATGTTGAAGTGGCAGAAGGAGATGCAGTTGGTGTCCAGCTTGTACTGCTCACAGCAGAACTGCAGCCATTCCCAGACGTGGCGCTTAGTCCAGTACTCGGGGGGGACCGACGTCCAGTAGGAGTCGCAGGCTGCACAGACGAGAGAGAAGTGAAGGATGACAGCCGTCAGGAATGCCCTGGACAGCCCCCTGAAGGAGGCTGCGCTTATGTGAACATCCTCACCCCTTGTCCACTGAGCTGAAAGGCCCTCCAGCCCTGGGGAGTTCTGCTGGGGCCCAGGTCACCTTCTACTCTGCAGCAAAATGCAGGGGGACTGGATCCTAGGGGGTACATTGGGGCAGGAGAGGGAATGACGGGCGAGAAAGCCAGTCCTGGCTCGGGAGTGCCCAGGCCTAGTTCTGATGCTTAGAAAGAGGGGAACTGGTGGAGAAGGAGAGCCCAAGGCCCTTCAGTGATTTGGCTTCAGGCAATATGGTATCAAGAGCACAGGCTTTGGAGCCTGACAAGCCTTGTGCTGCCACTTTCCACTTGTGCAAGGTCCATAGACATTTAAGCCTCGGTTTCCTCATCTGTAAAATGGGTATAATATGCCCAACTCACAGGGCTGTTATGCAATTTGGGGTTAATGTCTATAGGCTGTGTGGTGCATAGAAAATTATCAGTCAGTTCAATCATTATTAAATACCTACTGTGTGCCAGGCACCATATGACACCCATTTGACTCCCTTTGCTCTATGCACAGCTGCCGACACTAGCTATTGGTCTGTGTGCTGCCTCTGGCCATCTTGTGCCGAGGGCCTCGGGCTGGGAGACATTGCTGAGAGTCCCCCGGATCTTGGATCACCATAGCAGGCTCCTCTGGGGGGTATGGGGGAGAGGGGAGGTTGGTTGTATTGTTGTTTTTGTGGTTTTGGTGGTGTTTTGAAGAATGTCTATCCTGAGACCAGTGTGCCTTCCCTCCTTCAGAGGAGCCCTGGACACACCTACACAGAGGTGGGCGCCATCCAGTCTGGGAGGCTGGAAGTGGCCATGCCTGGCCTGGGGCAGAGATTGGGTGCTCAATGGCTCTGTCCCAATGCCAGGAGAAACCGAAAGGGTGGAGACACGGTACGGAAGAGGTGAGGTACTTGGTCAGGCCCTTTGACATAAACAATTCTTGCAACTGCCATGGTACTCATTCATTCATTCATTCATTCAATAAGTGAGCTTCAGTTTCCCCACTGGTAAGATGGGGACGATGATAGTACCCACACCATAGAGTTCTGTGGATCCAGTGAGTTACCATATGTAGAAGTACTTAGAACAGAACCTGGAAGATTTTAATGCTATTATTAAGGTTGTCATTGAACACCTGCCATATGTGAATCAACAAATTGCATGCTAAGGATTCATGGTGAGCGAAAAGTTTGGTCCTTGTCCCCCAAGAGGTCCCAGATGCGGAAGCTGAGGGTCAGGGCAGAGTTGCCCACGGTCCCACAGCCGGTGTACAGCAGAGCGGGGACTGGAAGCCTAGTCTGAACCTGAGAGCCATTGCTCTTGGCCTACCGTCACTCTGGTCTCGGGAGGGTCAGCACGGAGAAGAGATGAGACACGGGGAGAGAGAGGCGGAGGCCGACAGAGAGCTGGACAGAACCAGATGGCCTGGGGAGACAGGCCTGGCAGAGAGCAGAGTACGGCATAGTGGCTGAGTGGCTCAGACTGTGTGGACGACAGATAAGGTCACTCACGAGTTAGATGCCACAGCAAACGGCAATGAGGCTCTTCTGATGCCCCCTTTAAATGCTGCACTTGCTGCTACTGTCCCCAGGGGAGCTGTGGCGCCTCCAGTCCCAGCCAGGAGGTGGGTCCTCTTCTGCCCCCTAAGCACCCCCTGCGCATCAGTTTCTCAAGTTCTCGAATCCTCTCAAATAGGTATGACTGGGCTATTTCATGAAGGAGGAAGCTGAGGCTCCCCCTAAAACTCGGAGCCCTTCCAGAAATCTCTTTTCCCACCATGGAGTGGGTTGAGGGGTGGCCAAACTTAAACAACAGATTTGTTTCAATTTGTTTTAAATTTTTAATCAGAATTCTATATGCATGTGGATCAAAGAGTTGATCTTCTGCCAGGATAGCTGAGGCTTACTATCCCCTCTGCCTGGTGGATGAGGAGAGCAAGGGGTGGGGGAGGCCAATGCCTCTCCTCTTGCTCTCTGGCCACTGGATGAAGCCAGCGCACTGGCCTGCGGTGGCCCTCACGGCCAGCAGGGTCTCCTGGGGAAACAGGGCGGCCGTTCCCAGCCCGGTGTGTGCATCCGCTCACTGATTTCCGGCTTGAGGAAACCTGGGGGCCTCCGGCTTTGCTGGTCTTCTGATGAGAGATGTCGATGAGCCTTGAAATTCTTCCACCCCGGTCCTGCGCTGAGCCCCAGGGAGATGGCTACCGTGTGGGGCAGTCGGAGGACAGTTGCTTTCTTTCCATGGAAAGGTTTTGCCAAGTCTCCATCCCCCACCCCCACCCCCACCCCTCCTTATTTGCTCTGGCGCTTGAAGAGGGCCGCGCAGCTTCCGGGAGCCCGAGGCCCAAGGCTGCGGAGGAGCGCGGGCGGGGCGGCGCCGGCGCGGGCCCCTCCTCCCGCCCCAGCCGCAGGGCGGGCCTCGTGTGCGGCTCGGGCCTGGCGGGCAGAGCCGGGGCCGCGGCGGCCTCCGCTCCGCTCCGCTCCCCTCCCCTCCCCTCCCCTCGGCGGGAAGTCCCTCCCGCGGCCCCAGAGCTGGGAGGACCATGGCCGCTGTCGGGACACGGAGCCGGGGGCGCCGGCCAGCGGTGCCGCGCTTGCACGGCCCACGGCGGCGGGCCCCGGGGCGAGGGCGCGGGGCCTGCTTCGTCCGGCCCGTCTCTCCCGCGGCGTGGGCGTCGGGATCCCTCCTGGCTCAGCCTTGGCCTGGGACGAGGGCCCCATCCGCCTCCTCCTCACTGGCTCCCGCTCCCCCTCGGGCGTCTTCCCTGCGGCACAGCCCCCGCGGGCGTCCTTCTCAGAAGGACTCGCGCTCCCAGCCTCCCCAGACCTGGAGCTCCGCCAGGCCGGCCGCTCTGCCTTGCTCCCGGCGTCAGGGGGGCCTGGAGCCGGCCTAGCCCACCGTGCGGGCTCGTGAGCTACGTGACTGGCCGACGACCGAGGGTTAGATCTCCACCCGACGGGTCGGGAGACTGAGGTTCTGGGAGGTGGCGTGACTCCACTAAGGCACGGCTAGGCGGTAAGGAGTTAGGCCCCACACCAACTCTGCCATCTTTGGATGTGGGAATTTTGCATCATATCATGCCTGACTCTTCTTGGTTAAGGAGGACCCAGTTGGGCACACATCTTGAAGACTGACTAGGAAGATTTGAATGAAGGCAGACAGATATGCATGTATGCAATCTGGTTTTGAAAAATCAGAAAAAGAATGGAGAGACTGATGATGTCGGTGAATGACATGAAGAAGACCCCTTTGCTACTTGGAAGAGATGAACTCAGGGCAAAGAAAAGAAAGGGTAACACACCCGCAGAGTATGTTGTCTGTAGTAGGTTGTATTGTGTGGAAATGTAAAGTGTTTTCCTCAATGCATCTGCCACTCGAAAACTAATGTAAACGTTTTGGAGAAGCTAAGCCATGAGGCCCCTGCCCTCGTCTGCCACTTGGGGGCGGATGGCACCCTGTGCCCGGGAGACGTGATCCACCGTCCACAGGACACTAGTGAGCAGCAGGCTTGGCCAGCACCTTTAACGTCGGAAGTAGGTCAGGACACTTCCCATCTGCACTGGGAAGAAAAACTGAGGATCTGAGGGAGTTGCCAGCACTTCTGGGAGAATCCTCACAGGAGACGCCGTAACCTGGGATGCACTTACATTCAGAGGGAGCGCTTAGCCTCTCAGAGCCGGGCTGGCTCGCTTAGGTGCCCACAGGGTCACAGGTGATGTCCGTGCCTGAAGTGCCCCAGTGGGGACAGTGGGAATTGGAAACTTCATGCCAAGCGGGCAGTAGCTGCCTGGCTCCAACTGGCCACTGCCATGTGGAAGATGGACCTGTGTTTCTGGGCCCAGACTGCTATGTGAAATCTCATGATTTTTAAGTGCTGGCAAGTTATTTAACTTTTAAAAACCACTGAGGGCCAAACTCTTCCACAGGCTGGATGGGTCCTGCAGTCACTTTGTGATGGAGAATTTCACGTGCGTTTGGACGTTGTCTCCTTCGAGATTATCCTTTAGAGCGGGCATACTGAGACTTTTAATTTTTTTAGTTGGAAAGTATTTTCTTTAAAACTTATCTGGGGTGCTGGGGGCTGGCCTGGTGCTATAGTAATTAAGTTCATGAGCTCCGCGTCAGCGGCCCAAGGTTCACAGGTTCGGATCCCAGTGCAGACCGAGGCACTGCTTGTCAAGCCATGCTGTGGTGGTGTCCCATATAAAGTGGAGGAAGATGGGCACGGATGTTAGCCCAGGGCCAGACTTCCTCACACACACAAAAAATTTGAGGCAAAAAAAAGCAGTGCTGCTGTGCTGTGAGTTGAGGTGAAGGTACTAGATGGCCTGCCCTCCTTAGCTCCAGAAGGCTCCTTGAAAATCACTGTTCTAGAACTTAAAAGCAGGTTCCTGTTATTAGGATTCCTCCTAAAAGTTGTGATCTGTGGCCTCACACTTAGTGGTCATGCCTCCTTGGGACTCATCTGCGAACTGGGTATAAGAGGACCTGCCTCCTGGTGCTGTTCAAGGGTGAAGTCAGTGGACACCCGGACGCGCTTAGAGCAGGCATGTCATTAGTGCTCCTGAAATACCGTCCTCGCGTACTGGTTGCTCCTGGGGCTGCCCACACCACTACTTTATTCGCGTTTCCTCAAATACTTCTCATGTGTTTCTGGTGTGTGTGTGTGGGTCAGCCGCTTTGGCCTTTCCAGAGCTTTGGGTTTATTTTCTTAATGAAAAATAAAGAAATTATATTATAAACCAAGCTAATTTGTCCTTGAATTTCCAGCATGAGTTAGGTGGCCAATGCCATTCAAAATGTGGGGACACAGGTGTGTCTGTGTGACTTTGTAAAATGCTTGATGATCAGGACACACACCAGACCCAGGCATCTGACACTGGGGTGGAGGAGCGGGGGCGAAATCCCTGGTG